AAGTTACATAGAGCCAAGTTACATAGAGCCAGGTTACATAGAGCCAAGTTACATAGAGCCAAGTTACATAGAGCCAAGTTACATAGAGCCAAGTTACATAGAGCCAAGTTACATAGAGCCAAGTTACATAGAGCCAAGTTACATAGAGCCAAGTTACATAGAGCCAAGTTTACATAGAGCCAAGTTACATAGAGCCAAGTTACATAGAGCCAAGTTACATAGAGCCAAGTTACATAGAGCCAAGTTACATAGAGCCAAGTTACATAGAGCCAAGTAGAGCCAAGTTACATAGAGCCAAGTTACATAGAGCCAAGTTACATAGAGCCAAGTTACATAGAGCCAAGTTACATAGAGCCAAGTTACATAGAGCCAAGTTACATAGAGCCAAGTTACATAGAGCCAAGTGGCACAGAGCCAAGGTTAGGTAGAGCTTGCGTAGAGCTTCGGCGTTAGCAGCTATGTAAGTTAGTTTAGGTTTCTAAGGCGCCGGGGCGGGAGTTTGATCGTCGCTCGGGATTGCGACCCTCTGCGGAGATTCGCGTGGTCGATGTCAAAAAAACTGTGGACTTTTTACGATTTTTAGCATGCGCGCGCGACCCTCTGCGGAGATTCGCGTGGTCGAGGTTCAAAAACTGGGGACTTTTTACGATTTTTAGCATGGCATGCGCGCGCGACCCTCTGCGGAGATTCGCGTGGTCGAGGTTCAAAAACTGGGGAGTTTTTTTTCAAAAACTGAGGACTTGATTTACGTTTTCCGCAAGCCGCGCGCGACCCTCTGCGGGGGTCGCGCGTGTCGAAGCGCTCTCGCTGTGGCCCTGCGCGAATTTGTCTTTGTCTCGGCGAACCCTTTGCGGAGATTGTGCGTGTCGAAGCGCTCTCGCTGTGGCGCCGTGCAATATTCTTGCTCGCAAAACGGCCTTTGGAAGTTGTCTCGTGGTTTGCGCGCCTGCTTTCGCAATCCCGCGGTCGCGGGTTCGATTCCCCCCTGGTCCGCGGCAGCTCCGGCTTGAAAATCGCAGCTTTTAAGTACAAACGTAGTACGCGGAGCGTGCTCCTGCAGCTCCAGCTGGAAAATCGCAACTTTTGAGTACAGACGTAGCATGCGGAGCGTGCTCCCGCAGCTCAGGCTGGAAAATCGCAACTTTTAAGTACAAACGTAGTACGCGGAGCGTAGTACGCGGACCGTACTCCTGTAGCTCCGGCTGGAAAATCGCAACTTTTAAGTGCAGACGTAGTATGCGGAGCGTGCTCCCGCGCAACTCCCGCGCAACTTTTCAGTACAAACGTAGTACGCGGAGCACACCCCCGCAGCTCCGGCTGGAAAATCGCAACTTTTAAGTACAACTAGACGACGAGTGGCCCGGAAGCATAGAGGCAAGTTGATGCAGGTGAGGTAACTCTCGCAAAGTTAGCATGAGGAGTTGGCAGGCGAAGCAATTCTCAAAAGGTTGGCATGAGAAGCTGGCAGGTTAAGTAACTCTCGAATAGTTGGCTGGCAAAGTTGGCGGGTGAAGTAATTCTCGCAAAGTTGACATGAGAAGTTGGCAGGCGAAGTAACTCAAGAGAAAAGTTGGCATGAGAAGTTGGCAGGTGAAATAACTCTCAAAGAGTTGGCATGAGAAGTTGGCAGGTGAAGTAACTCTCGAAAAGTTGGCGTGAGAAGCTGGCAGGTGAAGTAATTCTCGAAAAGTTGGCACGAGAAGATGGCGCGTGAAGTAACTCTCGAAAAGTTGGCGTGAGAAGCCGGCAGGTGAAGTAACTTTCGAAAAGTTAGCATGAGAAGTTGGCAGGCGAAGTAATTCTCGAAAAGTTGGCGCGAGAAGTTGGCAGGCGAAGTAACTCTCGAAAAGTTGGCAGGCGATGTTGGCAGGTGAAGTACCTCTCGAAAAGTTGGCATGAGAAGCTGGCAGGTGAAGTAATTTTTCGAAAAGTTGCCACGAGAGGTTGGCAGATAAAGTATTTCTCGAAAAGTTGGCATGAGAAGTTGGCAGGTGAAGTAATTCTCGAAAAGTCGCACGGCGCCACAGCGAGAGCGCTTCGACACGCACGATCTCCGCAGAGGGGTGCGTTTCGTAAGCTCCTGTCGGGCCTACCCCCGCCATAACAAGAAGAAGAATTAAGAGTCGAGAAGTGAAGGTAGAACAGAAAAGTTAGCTTGTGTTTTTAGGATAGTGAAGTAACACCCGACAAATTAGCTTGTGCTTTTAGTAGAATGAGATAACAGCCGAAAAGTTGACATGAGAAGTTGGCAGGTGAAGTAACTCTCAAAAAGTTGACATGAGAAGTAGGCAGGTGAAGTAACTCTCGACAAGTTGGCATGAGAAGTTGGCAGGTGAAGTAACTCTCGACAAGTTGGCATGAGAAGTTGGCAGGTGAAGTAACTCTCGACAAGTTGGCATGAGAAGTTGGCAGGTGAAGTAACTCTCGACAAGTTGGCATGAGAAGTTGGCAGGTGAAGTTGGCAGCCGCTTTTAGAAGAAGAACCATTCGCAATGCTTCCGGGAAAAATAGTATGCGAAGTACGTTCCCACAGCTCTGGCAGCACTTGCGCAGAGCAGCGCAGAGCAACTTGCACAGACCAACTTGCACAGAGCACATGCGCAAAGCGCTTGCACGGAGCAACTGGCGCAGAGCACTTGCGCAGAGCAACTTGCTCAGAGCACTTGCGCAGAGCAACTTGCACAGAGCACATGCGCAAAGCGCTTGCACGGAGCAACTGGCGCAGAGCAACTTGCACAGACCAACTTGCACAGAGCACATGCGCAAAGCGCTTGCGCGGAGCAACTGGCGCAGAGCACTTGCGCAGAGCAACTTGCTCAGAGCACTTGCGCAGAGCAACTTGGACAGAGCACTTGCGCGCAGCAGCGTGCAGCAGCTTGCAGAGAGCAACTTGCGCGCAGCAGCCTGGAACAATGCAGCTTGCGCAGCAGACCACTTTCGTGACACATCGCGCGGCGCAGTTCGAGAGGAAAGTAGGATGATGAGATGGAGCTCTCATGTGACCATACACACTGAGCATCGCCGCGCGCAGACACGCTCGCCGCAGCGAAGAAAAATGGTGTCTCCGCGGCTGGATGAGCGCCTGTGGAAAAATGCTTTCGGGCCAATCGTCCTCTAGTTTGTGTTTGAATGGAAAAACTCAGCCCCCAAGAACCTGAAAAACTCAGCCCCCAGGAATCTGAAAAACTCAGCCCCCAGGAATCTGAAAAACTCAGCCCCCATGCCGACCCGCCCTCTTGTGCTTCTTGTTCTTTCGGGAAACGTGTTCGCTGCTAGACGGAAACCAAATGAATGCAAGCCGAACCTACACCCACTCGAGACTCATCAGTTGCACTCGAGACTCATCAGTTGTACTCGAACGATTAGCATCATTTCTTGGGAGTTGAAGCGTGTGTGTGTGTGGGTGCGTGGGTGCAAGGGTGCGGGCGCGAGTGCGCGTGCGGGCGGGCGGCATGTTGTTGTTGTCGTCGTCGCTGCTGCCTGCTCAGCCGCCCTTGCAAGTTGCGATGCTGCCGCGGCCGGTTGTGCGCCAGCAACGTAAATCCGGCCACCGGATGTGACCAGGCCAAAGGCGTAGCCTGGAGGGCTACCTTCAGGTATAAGGCCGTCCACGCCCCGACCATGCGCATACGTTGCCCGCATAAGGGGCGAAGGATTTGTAGATTTGTTTAAGCGATTTTCGAGGATTCTTGTGGTTCCCCGTGGATTTTTTGGGGCCCTAATACTGGACAACACCCCCAGCATTGCGAGCATCATCCTGGATGATTATGCTGGCGATGCAGAATGAAGGGGCTGGAAAATTGCAGAGGGGAAATGCAGGGAAACAGGAGCGAATGGAAGTGAACTCAATGGTAATGAAGGGAATTGCAAGAAGATGAAGAGGGCACTGGAGGGAAACCAATGGAAATGCAGTGACATGGAAGAGCGCGAAGGGAACTGGAGGACGGAAACGAAAAAAGAAATTGTGGAAACCAAGAGAAACTGAAGGGACATGAAGGCAAGTACAGGAAACTGACGTGAAATGGGAAGTGAGGTTGACATCACGGGAAATAAAAAGAACTAAGAGAAAGGACTGCGAATCAAAGGGCCTTCAGGGAAATGAAGGGAGCTGAACGGAAATGAAGCGAAATGAAAAGAAGTGAAGGGAAATGCAAGGAAACTGTCGGACATGCAGGGAAGACGTGCAACGGAAGTGAAGTTGAAATCCCAAATCCCGGGAACTAACGGGAATTAAGCAACAAATCTGCAAATGAAGGGAACTGAAAGGAAATGAAAGAACGGGAAGGGCAAGGCGTCAGCGTGTAAATAAGTAATTGGGGACTCGTGCTGAGGCAAATTAAAGGCGTGAGTAGCTTGAGTAATTTGAGTTACCTAAGTTCACACAACGTGACTTACCCGCTTTACTCAAGTCAAGTTGCTTAATCAATCTTGAGCCAAATAACAAGTGAAGTAAAAGGAATGACAACGCTTCTACGGGCATGGCCTGTAGGATGATGATGCGAGTCTTGGGGCTGGCTTGAAACATGGGTGATGCAATGATACGGTGACATGACTCTGACTTGTAAATCACAACTCATGTCTCACATTTTATGACTAGCTTATAACTCCATATGACTAATATCAGTGCATCATAGTCAATAAGCCCTTTGCGGTGCTTTCGTGGAACGAAAATAAAACAAGATCCACTATAGGGGGCATACTACTACTACTACTACTACTACTACTACTACTACTACAAGTACTATGCAGCAGCAGTCACAAACTGCATAGTGAAAGTGTGCAAAATATTTGCATGGATTCGCACAGCAGCCCCAAACTTCTGCATCGAAAGTGCCCAATATTTACGTGGACGTGCACAGCAGCCCCAAACATTTACGTACAAACTGCCAAACATTTACGTGGAAAAATCCCCCAGATTTTCTGGTATGGACCCGAAAACAGAACCCTTGGTATATAGATCCTCGGATTGAGTATCGCACAAAAAAACAAAGGAGGCGCACCGAGCGGCTACCAGCTTTCAGCGTCAGCTGCAGTGCCACCGGACTGTCGCGGATTCAAGTTGACCGTTTGCAACTTTAAGATGTGTTGAGACGTCGCAATTTTGGGTAAATCTGGGCAGCTGGCAGCCCCGGTGGGCAGTAGAACCTCGAGGGCTCTGCCAACAGAAATGGAGCCAAATCAAATGGTTCATGGCATCATCGGAACATGATTGAATGTTGACTGCTACCGAACTTGAAATTCGTTGGGGGGCGAGCTGCTGAGTACGCTCACAGGCTGGCGCATACCTCATCATGCGGGTCAAGTTGGTTTGCAATTGATCATCAGTCGACGGCATTCCAAACACGCATTGTTGATTGCATTGTGCTAAGACAGGAACAAAAAATTCGAATCACCAAATTCATAAGGAAGTCCCAGAGACACATGACAACGAGGCAACGAATATTTGCTCCACCTCAGGCGATGGATATGCTGAGATCACTTGTTATGTTTTGTGCAAGCCACTGACTCATCACATTCGTCCCCAAAGCAAATCTTCGCAACTGCCCTGTGCGCCGTAGCCTCGGAGGACGGGAACCATGTACACGGCAAATGGCACCGGATGCGCAATCTGACAAAATAATATTCGATCAACATGTCCGAGGTTGCAACCGAGCACTCCGTTTGCATTGTTTGAAACATTTGGCCTTGCAATCTCAAAGGCCTCAGCAAACAGTGTGCAGTCACCAATGCTATCATTTCATCTTGTCCTGCACCGCACACACACACATACAAACATGTGCCTGCAAAACTAAGATTTATGCCCGAACAACCGGACAAACTCGGTTTCCGCCTATGCTGGCAACTCACAAAACGATGATCCCATGACAACAGATTACTTGAAATGTAAATTTTGGAGCCCTGCCGTTTCAGCCGGCAGCAACCCGCCATCCTGATCATCCAACTATCACATGACATGAACCACACCATTGACGTGCCTCGCTCAAGGCTCCCAATTCGGGTAAAATAGCAGCCATGCCATCCTTGGCTTTGAATTTCATCGTTCATTTGATTCTGCAACTGTGAAGGCCCCAACTGGGCATAACGCCCTGGGCACATAGCTGACAATTTGTTCTCGCCTGAAACATTTAGCAACCTGTGGCAGCCCTGCGAACAATTTGGCATCAGGCCTTGCAAAATTCGATCCACCTGCACTATCCCAAATGCAATCCTCACATGCGTGCACTTCAGCACCTCCACAGCGGCCATCACAGCGCTCAACTACCTTGAAACAAACAAATCAAACAATTTATCGACACGAACATGGGTTGTGTTCATTGGAAAAATGAGGTCTGCACGCAACGTGTTTCAGACTTCGCCGGGAAAATGTGGAATGCGATCCATGTTGGATGGCGACGCCACAGGACTGCCTCTGCGGCACAGCCTTCCAAGTGCCATGACGTCAGAGCATTGGACCTTGAGACCTTGGCCTTCAGCCGCGGTGGCTGTCGAAACTGACACCTGAAAATAACACAGAGCGCCAACAGTTGCAAATGTCACCCGCCTGTGCCACTTCTTGGCATTGGCAAGAATCAATGTTCCCCTCAATATCAAGCAGCCATGATTCAAAATCACACCGTATTTTTGGTTCGTCCTGCCCCCCCCCCCCTGCGGAGAAGAACTAAGCAATGAACCAAAGGCACCGCAGTGGACCTTTCAAGGCCACATTCACTCAGAATTCTGCCGTTGCACCTGCCTTTGTATTGCAAAGTCCCCGACTGATTAGCTGTGTTCCAGCCAAGGCATTTCACCCACGGCCCATACCTTCGCACGGCATGGCCGCAAGGGAAACTCCGCCGGAAAACAAAGCCGGTGCATGGCAAACACGTGCAAAGAAGCCCGTGCAACGCGTGTAGTGCCGAACCTTTTTCTCGACGGGTTTGTGCATGTCAATTGCAGCCCAGGTGGCATGCAGTCAATTTGGACACGCTGCACATCCTCTGGTCGGCTGAGGCTGTAGGCCGATACTCCCCAAAGATCCCAAAGGCTGTCGAGTGCCACCTTGTTTTTCTCTTTTCGTGATCAGCTCAGCCGACATCATCTGGAAAGCTTTTTCGACGTTGGTCGCATCCTTTGCGGAGGTCTCCACGAAAGCAATGCCCAACTCTTGAGCCTTGCTTTTGGCTTCTTCGGTGGTCACCTGCCTCTCTGCTGTCAAATCACACTTGTTGCCCAGCAGGATTTTGCATGTGCTTTCATTCACGTATCTGTTCACCTCGTTCAGCCACTCATCCACATGGGCAAAGGACTCCCGATCGCAGATGTCGTAAACCAGGATGATGCCATCAGCGCCGCGGTAGTAGGCGCTGGTGATGGTGCGGAAGCGCTCCTGCCCAGCCGTGTCCCAAATCTGGAGCTTCACAGTTTTGTTCTCAACTGGGATGGTCTTGAAACGAAAGTCGACGCCAATCGTGGTAATGTAGCTGTCTGTGAAGGCATCATCTGCAAACCGAAGGAGCAAACAACTCTTGCCCGTTCCGGAATCGCCAATCAAGACGAGCTTGAACAAATGATCGTAGTCTCGCTTCATGAGGCACGCTCAATGAAGCCCGCCCGTTGAATTGCTGCACTCTGACTTGAGCAATGGCATTCACTTCACACCCTGACCACACACATGGCATGCACATGGCGTCAAAATCACACCACCGATACATGAGAGTCATATGAATCATGGCATGCGCTGGTTGAACTGAGCACCTGACGCATGCGAAAGAGTAGCGACCTCAGCTCTGAGCCCGGCAATTCTCATGACCGCCGCATGACCTCGGTCCCTCCCGGCCGTCCCACGCCTCCAGCAGCGCCAGCACCACTTTGGCCATGAGCCATGGCTGGTGTCACGGGGAGTGGCCGCAGACGTCACACTTTGGCACTCGAGCAAAAACAAACGGCGCTCCAACTTCACGAGGCACTTCCGCGAGGCACTTCCGCATCTTCCGCGAGGAACAAGTCCGATGCCTCCAACTCTGCGGCGTTTTCTCGACAGCCTGTGCAGAACTTTGCGCAGCCACTCAGGCTTCTCAAGGAACGACGCTCATAGCCGCCCGGAAGCAAAATAAATTGGGTGATACGCCCTCACTCTGCAGGGCTCAAATGACCGGCGCGCCGGGACACGTACCATAATGGCCAAGTTCTGAGCCATGCCAAGAGCCAACACGGTCAACTTCGCCTTCCAGGACTAGCGTTTCCTCCTCCACGCTTTTGCACTGTCTGCCTCCTTCCGAGGCTTGGCACGTCCTCTCCTTGACTTCTCGGACTGCCCATCGGCAGATGGTACTAAGTCCCATTCCTTAATTTCACGCAGCCGTTGGCAAGCACGAATCAAGGCGACAGCCACCTCAACAGCCACGGCAAAAAGACGGAAAAAGTAACTTAGGCAAGGTGCAAACTCGGGCTTCTCCTTGCCTGCAACGTACCAGCGAGCATTGTGCCTGTTATACCGTAGCTCCTCAGGGTCCAAGCAGAACTTGTGCTGAGTGCCCCACCAGAGTAAACAAGTCGCGTACTCGTAGCAAACTGAGAAGGGCTTTGGCTTCTGATCAGATGTGGACCGCAAGCACTCGCCCAGCACAGAGTCGTGGCCCGGCTTGTCAAAAGTCAGCTGGTAGCTCTCACCCTTCGGGCCTCTCCACACGCCTCTCAGCAAGCTGGACACCACCTTCCAGTGCTGGTCAAAAGGGGGCCACGCCTCATTGCCTTCAGGACTTGTTGGCACACTTGGGCTCTGCAAATTGTCTACATCCTCCTCGTTCTTTGCGCTATAATTCTTCTCACTCTCCAAACTATCAAAAGGTTCATTCTCCAAGACCTCCAGGGCCTCCAGGGCCTCCAAATTCGCATTCTCCTCGTTCGCATCATTCTCGTTCTCCCCACTGGATGTGCTGGCAGTGAAGGTCTCGTCCTCTGAGCCCTTCGCCGGGGCTCCAGCAGCTCCGGCAGCTCCAGCTCCGGCTGCTCGCGGGAGACTCACCAAGTCTGTCAAGGTACACAGGGAGTCGTCCAACTCCAGCCGCCGCATGGCTGCCTTTTCCAGGAACATGTTGATGCTCCCAGAGGGAGGACTCACTGCAGACATCCAGTTCCAAATGCAACTCTTGCAATGCGACTCACCAAGGGCTGCAAACAGGCCAGCAGTGGAGGAGTCATATTTCTTCAAAAGCTCGCTGGGCACTGTAAAGAGGACGTCCACTTCAACGCCGACCTTTTTGGGCCACAGTTTGGTGGCAGCACGTTGAAGCACATACAGCCGCCTGTTGTCTTTTGCAAACCAATGAACTGCATCCTCCGGTGTCGAGGCCATTCCATACTGTGACTTGCTTCGTGACGGCCTCCACCTCGCTACCTCAATGTTGGGAAATGGAGCCTTGAGGACCACATCGTAAGGTCCAAAGCCTTCCTGTGCCTCGACCAAGGCGACGACATCATCCAGTGGCAGGCTGTTGCGGAAAGTTGTCCGGATGTGCTCCTGGGAGAAACGCACTGCCAAGGGCGAGATCACCTTCTCCTCGTAGACCGGCATCGCAACACCCGAAGGCCGCCTGCGCTGGCCCGATGCGAGGGGAGCAAAAGTGCCAGGGCCACAGCCCCGTTGCTTGCCGCTCGCAGGTTACTGCCTCCTATGATATCTGATGATAATGGCTGCGGCCATCCCAATTCAAATATGTTTACATGCAATCCCAGTCGGATGATTGAGGCTGCTAATGGTTTGTAGGTATTCGCGACACTTCTTGCTCCATTTTGAAGACGCAGAAATCTTTTCTGAGACTACCGATGGCGTCTTCGCTCGTGCATCTGACGCATGTATTGGCCCAGCAGAAGCAAGCGGTGCGTTCCAGCCGCATTTTGCCTGAGGACGTCAACTCACCCAGCTCTACTCTGGAGAAATCAGTTTGACTCCAGAGTGCATGGAATTTGGCATGGCTGCTTGACTGCCCCTTTTAGGAATAAGTGGTGTGCCGAACGGCTGCATGGAGGCATCTGGGCACAGCCTGTGCCAAGCTGGGACGGAGGCACACTTCAATCGAGGCCATGCCGTATCAGAAGTCAGTGCAACAGATCAATTTGCCACTCCACCGTTGCATCAAGCAAGTAGACCAGTGGCCAGTTGAACCAAAGGCTACCTAAATTCCCAGCACAGCTTCAGGGTTATTCGTCACTCAGAATGAAGCAAAGCTCAACAAAACTGACGATGAGCGGTGGCCAGGCTCTTCCAAACCGGAAGAAGAATGAGCAGTGAAAGCAGGAAATGCTGCTGGAGTACACGGGTTGCACATCCAGCAGCAGCAGCGTGGGCAGGGGTCACTACAACATGCTGCAAACACTCACCGGATTTTGGGCATTTGTCGGACCCTTCCACGAAAATAGGCCCGCTCACTCCTGCGCATAGCCTGCAAAAACATTCGCTCAGTAATCCAAGCACCAGAATCCCGGCCTCTGTGGGCCGTATGGGATAGTCTAGTCCCGGAGCTTGTCCAGAAGTGGGCCATCGAGCTTCAGATCGTCTTCGTCGATCTCAATGTCCAGGTCGCCGTCATATTGCACCTGCCGTTTTGCCAAAACTCGGCCTCGAGCCTCAGGCCAACTCTTTGACATATCCCCCCTGAAATGGTGTTGGACCCTCTGCCCTTTTAGTCTCCGCGCCATCACGTTGATAACATCGTACACAACCTTCACCTGAGCGATGAGCTCCTGCAACGATCCTACCTGTTAGGTTGCCAGGTCTCTCTCTATTCGTTCCATTCTCCGAGGCCGTCCATCTCCACTCTAAACTTGATTGCCGACTCCTCAATCTCCGGGTCATCGAAGAGCTTCAGGGTCTTTGTGCGGCATTTCTTCGTCGGAGTGGGGCGTTGCCTAGCCCGGGCGCTGTGACTTGGACTTGGACCCCCGACATGGAACTCCCAGGGCCATGGCAGCACCACACGACGGACCGCATCGCGCTCAAAAACGGAATCCTGATGCAAGATGCATGCCACTTCGTATGCCTTTCATGCAGTTCTGCTTGAATTGTTCGCTATGACGGTGAAACCCGAATGTCATGGGCGCACCCCAACACTGATGACGTTCTTCCAGCTCTGATGCTGGTAGCGCGAGTAGAAGTCTTTGATTTCCTGGGCAAAGGCGACCTGCCAAGCGCAGTGGCCAGAGGTCTTGGAGGTCTTAGAGGTCTTAGAGGTCTTAGGTGAGCGCTCGTTTTCATGGAAGCTGATGAAAGGCATGGGCGTTATGATGAGACGTTGACACAACTGACTCTCGCATTGCACCATAGCCAGCCTCCTTCCACTTCTGCGGCGAAATTTCTTCAGTCTTCTGCTGGGCTGCTATCTTTGCATTGATTGCTCCCAAGCGGTTCCTCCGACATGCAGCCCCACAAGCAATGAAAAAGCAATGAAAGCGCGCCCTCATGCCGCAGGGCATTGCCACCAGCTGTCACAATGAAGTCAGTGGATTTGTTTGCCATCCATTCGTCGCCCACTGGCTTCCAAAGCGACTGCAAGACTGCAACAATGGCATCCATATGAATGGCATGAAAGCCGCAGCTGTTGGGCCCGGGCTGGCCGTTCGCCGCATAAAGGCCCGGCATGGCCAAACGGCTCAGGGGCGAAGAGCTCCTCACTGCATGGACTGCATGGACTGCATGGCTACGGCTCGTTCAGAGATTCAAAAATAGATTCAATCATCTATGGCTGCTTCGGAGGTTGGGAGTTTCGGAGTTTTCGGAGCTTCGGCTCCTGCTTGAGCTGCGAGACATCTCGACACCTTGACATCTCGACTCTGACTCGGCTCCGCGCACAGTGCCATCAGTGCCCACTTGGCCTTGTTGCTCGAAGATAGAGCGCGCGTAGATAACGGGAAGCGAGCTCACGAGCGGCAGCAGAGATGGCAGGAAGTTTCGGCATGATGTCTCCACCCAAGGACTCAGTGCGTGTTTGCGGATGCGGGCATGCGTCCATGGCATGGATGCTCCGAGGGCCCCACTCCATTGCGTTGGTCACAATCACCACCTGACCCGGTCCCGCAGTGTTCCCCGCAGTGTTCCCCGCAGTGTTCCCCGGGCACTGTTCGAGGCGCGAGCCGTGCCAAGCTTCATGGCCATTTTGAGGAGCACTTCCACTGAGGCCTGGCTCGACTCAGTTGGGCCTTCATGGGCGTGACCGCAGGAACCGCTTCAATCCAGCCACGCGTTTCAAGGTGCATCTCCCCATATCTCCGCAGCTGCACTGCTACACCGACCCTTCCCATCCGCTTTGGAGCCTGCAACTCGCGCAGAGGCTTTTGGTACTTCTCTGTGGCTGGAGCAGGCTTGAAGAAGCTCAGGACCTGACACCGCATGGAGTCTCCAGGCGCAGGGCCATGCCTTTCGCGGATCCAGGCCTTCTTGTTAGCGCGGATCCAGCTGGAGGGGCACAGCCTCCGCTTTGGGCCGGTTCCCTTCTCGCAGCTTAGCGTAGCTTGGCTCCAAGCGTATCGTCCCAGTCGAAGATGATGATGGTCTGCCCCTCGGAGAGAACAACCAATCCATTCGAATGGCGAAGCCAATCAAGGTTTCTTCCCGAAGAGAAGAAGGTCGAGATTTAATTTGGGATTTTTTTTTTGTTTTCCGTCCTGGCTGCTAAAATGCTGTAAGTTTCTCGCGAAATGTACGTATTTTACGCGTCCGTCAACATCATCAGCATCGTTTTCAACATCCCCCGCATGTCCAGCCAACATCGCCAGCATCACCAGCAAATTGGCTTCCCGCATCTCATGGTAAAAGTGAGGATTCAATTAAAGCGCAGGGGGGTTGGGGGGCCCCTTGGGGGGGGCGGCAGCCCCCCCATGATGATCGAAAAATTAGGGGCAAAGAATCTAAAAAGTAACGGTCGCATGATGATCGAAAAAGTGATGATTCAATTAGGGGCAAAAAGTCCAAAAATAGCGGGGGAGTTGGGGGGGGCGGCAGCCCCCCCCCCATGATGATTGAAAAAGCGATGATTCAATTAAAGGCGCGGGGGGGTTGGGGCGGCAGCCCCCCCATGATGATCGAAAAAGTAATGATTCAATCAGGGGCAAAAAGTCTAAAAAATAGTGGGGGGGTTGGGGGGGGCGGCAGCCCCCCCCATGATGATCGAACAATTAGGGGCAAAGAATCTAAAAAGTAGCGGTCGCATGATGATCGAAAAAGTGATGATTCAAATAGGGGCAAAAAGTCCAAAAAATAGCGGGGGGGTTGGGGGGGGCGGCAGCCCCCCCCACGATGATTGAAAAAGTGATGATTCAATTAGGGCCAAAAAAAATAAAAAAGCAGCGGGGGGGGCATCAGTGCCTCTGCGCCAAGGCCTCATGGTACAAGTGAGGGTTCAAATACGGGCAAACTAATCCCTGCAGATCGAAAAAGTGATGATTCAATCAGGGGCAAAAAGTCTAAAAAATAGCGGGGGGGTTGGGGGGGGGGGGCGGCAGCCCCCCCATGATGATCGAACAATTAGGGGCAAAGAATCTAAAAAGTAGCGGTCGCATGATGATCGAAAAAGTGATGATTCAAATAGGAGCAAAAAGTGAAAAAATAGCGGGGGGGTTGGGGGGGCGGTAGCCCCCCCCACGATGATTGAAAAAGTGATGATTCAATTAGGGCCAAACAAATATAAAAAAAGCAGCGGGGGGGTCATCAGTTCCTCTGCGGCAAGGCCTCATGGTACAAGTGAGGATTCAATCACGGGCAAAATAATCCCTGTAAAACATTTAAAACGTAGCGGGGGTGGGGGGGCGGCAATTCCCCCCATGATGATTGAAAAAGTGATGATTCAATTAAAGGCGCGGAGGGGTTGGGGGGGGGGGGGCGGCAGCCCCCCCATGATGATCGAAAAAGTGATGATTCAATCAGGGGCAAAAAGTCGGGGGGGATGAAGATTGACAAAGTGATGATTCAATGGGCCAAAAAAATATAAAAAAGCAGCGGGGGCATCAGCGCCTCTGCGCCTCGGCCTCATGGTACAAGTGAGGGTTCAAATACGGGCAAACTAATCCCTGCCAAAAAGTCTAAAAAATGGCGGGGGGGTTGGGGGGGGCGGCAGCCCCCCCCCATGATGATCGAACAATTAGGGGCAAAGAATCTAAAAAGTAGCGGTGGCATGATGATCGAAAAAGTGATGATTCAAATAGGGGCAAAAAGTGAAAAAATAGCGGGGGGGTGGGGGGGGGGGGCGGCAGCCCTCCCCACGATGATGGAAAAAGTGATGATTCAATTGGGGCTAAAAACATATTACAAAAAGCAGTGGGGGGGTCATCAGTTCCTCTGCGGCAAGGCCTCGTGGTACAAGTGAGGATTCAATCACGGGCAAACTAATCCCTGTAACGCCAAAGAATCTAAAAAGCAGCTGTCGCATGATGATCGAAAAAGTGATGATTCAATTAGGCGTGTATTTTAATCGGGGTGGCGGGGGGCACCAGAGAGGAAGAACTTGCGATGCTGAGGATGCAGGAAGCCAAGGCCAAAAACCAACTGGTGCGAAAAGCCAAAGCCAGAAAGCCGCCAAAAGCCACAAAGCCAAAAAGCCAGCGGAACTGGCAATGCAGAGGATGCGAAAGAGAGGAACTGTGAATGCAGAGGATGCGAAATGAAAAGCCACAAAAGCTACAAAAACCCACGTAAAAGCCACAAAAGCCAAAAAGCCACCCACCCTGAAAAACAAGAATAATTCCTAAAAAAACGAAAAAACATCCTAAAAAAAATAGCCCTCCGAGAAGAAATGAGCAAAGGCAACACACAACCTGCCAAATATCCACCACCATGTTGTGCCTGCCGTGCGCGCACGGCATCAAGTGCACCCCCACTCGCCCCCACTACGGAATATGCTCATCCAGGGCCCGCAGGGCACCCAACCAGATTCTGCATGCACTTCGGAGAAAGCAAACGACGCAAATGTTTCGTCAAAGTGAACACATCGCCATCTCACATGTCACGTACAGAAAAACCGAAAATGGCACCGGGCGTATCTGAGGCCCAAGGCAGGTTGAAAATACTCAGCCTGGCTGCCAGTGCTTACCATAGACCTCAGGCTTTTCAGAATGCAAATAATGCAAATAATATTAAATAGCTAGCTGCAAGGTGGCAGGGACTGAGTCACAAACTCGATGGTCTTGCGGATGCTGGGCTTTTGCTTTACCGCCACGCCCTTGCCGGGGTTCTGGATTGCTCGCCTCAGGCCAAGGACTGGGCCTATCCGACACCATTCCTTCCTGGTCACCTGCCTGGGAACCATGGCCATGGCTGCAAAGCTATGCGAGTACAAGCTCGACGAGTCCGCAATTGTGCTGGAGCCAGACTGTGGCGGAGCATGTGGCAAAGCGGGCAACGCTATCAATGGCGCGGCAGCTGCCACAGGATGGATTTGCACCCTGAAGTAAGCAACATGGAACCATGCATAGCATGCACATCACCAAACACACACTTTTGCGCAGCCCTTGGTGGCTGCAGGTTGGGCTCAGCGACTAGTCATCGTCATCTAGCGCCTGATTGAACTTCTGAGACTGCCACGAGTGCGTTCCACAGAGGATGCCATACGTGGACGCGTGCGCCTCCAGCCACTCTTTCTTCTCCCGATTGAGGCGCTCCCAGCGCTGCATGGCCATCCTGTCTCGTGCCTGCAAGCCAAGTCAACCCAACGCAAGCCAAGAGCTCTGCTCGTCTTACACACCTAGAACACCTAGCCGACACGTTGAAACAACGGACCTCTTGCAGCTCCTGCTCCTCCTCTGAGTCCAGGACCTGCCCCAAGCCCAGGCATTGCTGGAACACGCAGAAAGATTCGAAAGCTAACGTCAGCTAGCGGCTTAGCGGCTTAGCTGCTTGGCTGCTTGGCTGCTTGGCTGCTTCGCGCCTCTGCCGTGGCCCTGTCTGCCCACACCTTCGTTCCAGCACGCTCAAGCATGCAAGCTGCTCCTTGGCACGGCCTTCTCTTGTGTCGCATAACTGTTGTAGTGCCTCATGTACTCCTCAGCGAATTGGCCAACCACCGTTGATTGCAAGTGTTCGGCACCTGGACCTCGCCTGAGCCTGCCCGCTATGCCCATGCCTTCCTGAGGCCCTAGCAGCCCTGGCGTCTGGCACAGGGGACGGAGACCTGGCTGCCTTCGATCTCGCCTGGACGCAAACGGCGCAAACGGCGCAAACGACCGCAACTTCGAGGTTGCAAGGCGCTGGCCCCTGGCCGTGCACCCCGGGGCGAGTAGGCCAAGGGGGTTTCCTCCTGCAAATGCATGCGGAGTCCGGAATTGGCCAGGGCTTTTTGGTTGGGTCAGGAAATGCTGGGAACAGGGCCTTGCGACTTGGTCTCGGGGGCACGAAGTCTCTGGGTGCAGGAGGCACTTCGATACGTGGGGACTTGCCTTGGCAGCTTCGAGCTGGATTTGCCGTGGAGCTTGGCAGGACTTCAAGCTAACGGGTAGCAATGGTACTGAGCTTGGCTCTCTCCATATCTTCAGTGTCGACCTCTGCCTGGAAGCTCAAATTCAAACCAAGTTCGGGCTCCCTGCGTGAAGCAAAGATTCCGCGGGCGATGCACCTGACCCGACTTCTTCTTCTCCAGGTACTGCTCGAAGCTTCGGTCGATGTTGCGGTACATTTTCTTCGTCAAGCCCTGAAACGGCCATCGACGTCAAATGTTAAATCCTCATATCGGGGGAGGACCCCAAGAATGCAAAAAGTGCATCTTTGGACCTCCCCCATTTTAGTAATTTATTGGGCGTGGGGACTTCAGCATCACCCCGACAAGGGCCTTCACCGCGGAGTCCCATTTGGCCCCAGGGGGCAGGTGGTGGAGCAGGTCTGCGGTGTGGCCCTTCTTTCGGTCCTCACACGAGCACACACACACACACAAGCAAACAAAAAAAAAAGAGCATGCGAGCGCAAGACGAGCCCATGATCTGAAAAGCATGCGACATATGCGACATATGCGACAAATGGACACATGGGACTTGGGACATGTAAAGAGCCCTCCTCCTGCTTTTGCTCTGCATCCACATACATGTATTGCTCCGTGTACTCCTCAACCTGGGCACTGCTCCAATGGATCTCCGAGGGTGACGCGCTAGGCTAGGACATGTTTGAACCGCTCCCAGTACTTGAGCTTGTCCCAGTCCTGCCAGTTGCAACCAGCAAGGCAGAGTACGCACGGAAGTGGGTCCTTGTCTTCAGAAATGTTCTCCTTGCCTTTCGTGTAGCCTCCTCGATCCTGGGAGAAGAGCGGGGCACAGCATGGAAGGTCGCAGCACGAAGCACCTGAAACTTGTCCCAAAAGCCGGCGAACTTCTTCTTCTGCTTGTCATTCTGCAGTCTCTCGAGCGTGTCTAAGCCTCAAGCTCCGCAAATGATTTCACGATCCATTTGGAGTCTTGTCTTGGAGTCTCGGGCGCAGGGAGTGCTGCGAAATCTCGCAGATCAGCGCTTGGTCATCGCAGGCCTCCAAGGCCTTGGAGGCAGGAAAAACCGGAAAACCTGCGTGGCGTGCGTGGCGTGCGTGGCGTGCGTGGCGTGCGGGCGCGGGCGCAGGTGCCACATCCCCGGCCTTGGCCAAGGCGTCCTTCGCCTTGTCCAAGAAGTCCAGGTGCCCGTAACACCTGCGCCGCAAGACAACATCAACAGAACACAAGAGAAGACAAGAGAAGACAAGGGAAGATAAGCGAAGATAAGCGAAGATAAGCGAAGGCATCTCAGCTGCTGGCTGCGAGGCTCGAAACCATGCTTTTGCGCGAGTGAGGCGCGGCAGGCCTAGGACTCCAAGGAGTTTCTGCCAGTGGCAAAGGACTTTCAAGGAGCTGGCGGAACTCCACGTAAGTCACGCCCGAATGGCCGTGCTTCCGCTCAGACCTGTGCCAAGCCCGCAAAGCCGCAAACCTGCAAACCAGCAACTGAGCAGCTTGTCAGTGTGTCAGGCGCACTCTTTGACCTTCTGGCGAATGTGGGGATCGGTGAAGAGCATTTCATCACGATGATTGCCCACCAGGCACTCCAGAGCTGCATCCAAAGACTTCTGCCAATCCTTCAACCTGGGCACATGCTTTAGCACTTTAGCCGCTGCCCACAGCTTTACAACTTTGCATGTTTTTATAGTTGTTGTGGTAACTGAATAATTGTTGGCGTATAAGCTGGGGCTTGGGCTTGTAGAAACACGTGCTCTTATTCAGGTGCAGCGTGCTCCGAAGAACGACCACATCGTTCCACTTTTTCTTGCCGATGAGAATCGACTTGTCGTAGGCCACCGTCAGCCTATACGCTCGCACTCTTGGACAGTTCACTGAGGCGGTGACGGGTCGATGGGCGGAAAAGCATTTGTCGAGCCCACGGGACTGAGGCAAAAGCAGCTGCTCCAAGGCGTCATCCTCGGCCCAAAAGAAACCGACTCTCCGACCAACAGAAACCTTGAGCCATTGGCATACGCTTCGATGGCCTCAGCTTCTCCGCTTGAAATTTCGAAGCGCCAAATTCCGGGCCTTCTCGAACCTCTCCTTCTTGAAGGCGTCATTTCCGACTGCTTTGTTTTCCTCTGCCTGGCTTCGAGCATGCAAGTCATGTAAGCATGGAGGCAAACAGGCCGACTGACCCGTTTCAAAAAGCCGTAGTCTTCAAACAGGTCTCCATACTCATCCCGCCTCGAACAAGCACTCAACATCCACAAATCACCGCAAACACCCAGAACAGCATAGAAGTGTAGGTTTATGTTGGAACCCTTCCCCATAGACCCCTCCAAGGGCTTCAAAATTGCCACTGACGCCTATGGACCCAAACACCTACAGCCAAGTCAGTGCCACGCGGGCCGACGCACGGGTGGTGAGGCCGAGGCTGCGGCTGCGCTGAGTCGGCGCCTCAGGATCCACATGCTCCCAAATCCCTGAGGCTCCGATGCTCGCGGAAGCTATGCCCCGAACTCTCCATGGCGTAGCCTGACGTTTCGATCGCTCGAAATGGGCGCTTCGCTTTCGAGCTTGCTCAACACATAGCACACTACAGAGTGCCTGAAAGGCCCTGCTGCCCCCTGCGCGAGGGCTTGCGAGCGCAAACGGCAGCGGCCACACTATGGAAGGCGAAAGCATCCGAGCTATACATGCATGCAAAGCGCTCGGCAAAGCTCACAGAAGGCTCACAGGAGGCTCGCGATTGGCATTTTTTAGAAGCAATGTAGCTAGGGCTCTTTGGCCCTGCCACGGCCTCGTCACTCAGAAATTGCCAAGTGTGGGACCTGCTTGAAGCTCTGCGAAGTAAATGCACACGTGCATTGTGCAACTCTCAGAGTCTAAACGTGTCAGGCCCACTCGGCCAAGGATCTCTGACCTGTGCGATCCCGCGACCCCTGCAAGAGCCCATGTCCGAGCCCCGTGTTCTCCAGCGCGTGGCGTGGGTCCCGAAGCTTTCAGGACAGCCTGGAAATCTGCCGCTCTGAGGCTCTGAAACGCAACAAGCCGCGCCAGCGCTTCTTTGCTGCTGCTTTCCTCTGCGTAGTCCATGGGAGTCCTTCGAACTTCCCCTCATTCCCACTTCCCACCACTTCCCACCACTTCCCACCACTTCCCACCACTTCCCACCACTTCCCACCACTTCCCACCACTTCCCACCACTTCCCACCACTTCCCACCACTTCCCACCACTTCCCACCACTTCCCACCACTTCCCACCACTTCCCACCACTTCCCACCACTTCCCACCACTTCCCACCACTTCCCACCACTTCCCACCACTTCCCACCACTTCCCACCACTTCCCACCACTTGCCACCACTTGCCACCACTTGCCACCACTTGCCACCACTTGCCACCACTTGCCACCGCTTGCCACCTCCCACAACTTCCCACCACTTCCCACCACTTCCCACCACTTGCCACTTCCCACCACTTCCCACCACTTCCCACCACTTCCCACCACACCACTTCCCACCACTTCCCACTTCCCGCCACTTCCCACCACTTCCCGCCACTTCCCACCACTTCCCACCACTTCCCACCACTTCCCACCACTTCCACCACTTCCCACCACTTCCCACCACTTCCCACCACTTCCCACCACTTCCCACCACTTCCCACCACTTCCCACCACTTCCCACCACTTCCCACCACTTCCCTTCCCACTACTTCCCACTGCAACTGATGTAAAGCATCGAGAAGCCACGAAGCCACGAAGCCACGAAGCCACGTCCTGTGGTTCTCATCCTTCTGAAAAGGATTTGCCCGCTTCCTTCTCAAAGAGTCGATTCGGCCGAGCATTTGATTTTTTCTTGGGAAATGCAAGAATGTCTCCCTCTGGCATTCATTCCAGCTATGACCTCAGGCCCTTGAATAAGAGGTCGACTCCAGAAAGGAACGGCAGAGTCCGTCCAGGTTCTGGGCGGCGGCCCTTGGCTGCATAGTGCCCGGCACTCTTTCAACTCGTCGCGGGCCCAGGCCAATGCAGCAAAGTGAAGTTCCCACCCTGCGCATTGCGCATTGCATGGGCTAGAATTCCTTGGCCCTTGAGGTCACAACCCACTCCACCGCATCCCAGCCAAGCAAATCAACCTGCTTGATGATGGCAGCGTATTCCTACGGAAGAGATGCGGGCTGCAGGGTCTGAGAGCTGCAACGAGGCCTCTGGGATCTCAGTGTCGTGAAGATGCGGAACCTCGGGTGCATTGGGTGCACAGAAATCGTGCGCGCCAGGACGCAGGCAGGACGCAGGCAGGACGCAGGCAGGACGCAGGCAGGACGCAGGCAGGACGCAGGCAGGACGCAGGCAGGACGCAGGCACAGCATAGACCTCAGTGCCACGCAGCCTCTTGCGACTGGGAGGCTTGCTCCTGGCACCGAAACAAAGTGAGCACACGCGAAGGGTGAAAGCCCAGCACAGAACCAACACTGTAAAGATATACCAAGACCAGAAACCTCGGATGTCCGAAGCAAATGCTGGAGCTCAACAATCTCATCCGATTGCACCTGCGGGTTGCAACTATCTTTCTTTGTGGCATCAGCAGCCATGCCTTGTGGAGTCGCCTTTCTTCCTCCCGCTCCGACTTCAGCTGCACATTGTGCTTCAGCAAACTCTGCTTCGCTTCGCTCTGCGCTTCGCTCTGCGCTTCGCTCTGCGCTTCCTGCGCTTCGCACTGCGCTGCACTCAGCTCGCTCGCTTCGATCCGCTTCTCTTTGGCACGCAGCTCGGCCACCAGCTCTGTCAGGATCCTCTCGCCGCCATCGGCGAGGTGCGAGTCCAGCGCCATCGCCAACTCCAGCAGCGCCGCATCTGCCTCGTGCCCTCGTCCAGAAGCCCTCAGAGCCCGGATTCCAATGGACTAAAGACACGAGCCGGTGCCAAAGTCGAACCCCTCTCTCCTTCTCTCTCGCTCTCGCGCTCTCTCTCTCTCTCTCTCTCTCTCTCTCTCTCTCTCTCTCTCTCTCTCGCTCTCGTTAAAATCGGTGGTTACTTTGCTTACAAGTGCAAGTGCTGTAGTGTTCAAACAAACAGTCAACCAATGTAGTCTGCAGCTGCCAACCTTTTGACTCATGCGGAGTAGTAAGCTCAAGGCCTGCGGTAGTGAACATACATGCAACAAGAGTGCAAAGTGAAGCATGTAGTTTGACACGGCCCCTCAGTTAAAAGGTCTTTGTAGTACCTTTTCAACTGAAGTGCAAAACATGGATTGACAGTAGTGATGAAAACCATTGTTGTTCATCAATTCTACTGTATTGGCAAAAGTAGCGACCTGCCATCAGTAGTTCACGCTGTTCTGTAGTAGAGCAGGAGCTCAAAAATGTAGTCCCCATTTCTGGGTGCGGTAGGCTTGGACCATCTGTAGTCGACTGTCCAAGGTCGCGTAGTAGTTGGTGGTGAAAAAGGTTGTCATGTAGTTTGGAGCTCCCCGTAGTCGCTCATCATCAATCTCGGGACACGACATGTGTTGGTCGTAGTCCCGTAGAAAGCGGTGTAGTAGTGCTTTGTGGTGTTGTGTGAGGTTGGTCATTGTGAGTAGTGTGAATCCGTAGTACTGGATGCTTTTGCAGAGGATTGTAGTGATTGCTTTGTGCTGGAAGTCGTGTAGTTGGTCTCGGTTGTAAAGGTAATGGAGTAGTTCAGGTAGAAGTAGTGGCATGTGGAAATTCCAAACGTAGTTGTTCCCGAGGCTGTAGTTGTCAGTGAAGGTGGTCATGTTGTAGTTCACCTTGAAGATGGTCTGTGGCAGTGTTGTAGTCGGGAGGTAGTAGTTGTGTTGTACCGACATCATGTAGGAGATGTAGTCCCTTGTGAAGTGTAGAAATTGTCCTGGAGTGAGGTACCTCAGGAGTAGTGGTTGTTCAATCTGGAGTTGGATGATGACGTAGTTGGTGTTGTCGCCAGTTGTAGTGTGGAGTGAAGTCGTGTGGTAGTAGTGGACATTGGCTGCTTCAGGTAGTGAAATGCTGAGCAGTGTGGAATTGTAGTGTGGCATCCGAAGATCTCCAGGGATGCAGTGAATGGGTCGTGTGTAGTCCAGTTGTGCCAGTGGAGTAGCTTGTTGTTGTGAGAGTAGTTGATACTCTTCAAGTGTAAATGCAGTGAAAAATTGCGTGTAGGGAATGTTGTTGGGCAGTGGTGGTGCAGTGGTTGTCTGGTGCTCAGTGATGTGTAGTTGGTCCATCACTGTGGTCGGGTTGTAGTAGACGGTGTTGCCGGGTGTAGAATGGTTGAAGTGGTAGTTGGAGTCGTTGTAGGTTTGAGGTGGTGGAGTTCCATGGTCACTGGAGTCTGTAGTGACCGCCACCTCAGGTGTAGTCGCCCTGTCGGGCGTAGTGGCGTCTCCCATCGTAGCATCTGCAGTAGATGGAGCGGCCATGGCTGCAGTGGAATGCAAAATGTAGTGAAACGGGGCAAAACAAATGAGCCTAAGTAGTTGCTACCAGGCAGTCGGCGAATGCAGACATGTAAAACAAACAACTGTAGTGTTGACTCAAGCCGCCAAAAGTGCAAGTGAAAGTACATGTAGTTACTGTTACTTACATACCAAAAGTGTCGTGTTACATGTAGCTACTTACATACATGAAATGTCCAAAGTCGTTGTTGTTGTTGTGAAACTGCTGTGCTGGTCGTTCGTAGTGCTAGATGCGTATTCCAATGCTCTGGATGAGCCTGTGTAGTGTTTCTTTGCTGATGTATTTGGTAAACAAATCTGCGCTGTTGTGGAGTGTGTTGATCTTAAGGATTCTGATGATGTCGTGCTTGATGAGGTCTTGTGTGTAGAGGAATTTGAGGTCGATGTGTTTTGCTCGTTTGCTAGTGCCTTGTCGTGTAGCAATGCTCTTGCCTGCTGTGGAGTCTGTGTGGATGCGTAGGTTTAGCTTGCTGCAAATGTTGGTTTCAAGTAGGAAGTTTCTGAGGTGTAGTCCCTCATTAACTCCTGTGCAAATGGCGTAGAGTTCAGACTCTGCTGAGCTGAGTGCTATTGTAGCTTGTGTTCTGCTGCCAAATGCAACTGTTGTTCCTAAAAAGATGATGTTGAAACCTGAAGTTGATTTCCTGGTAGTAGGGCATCCTGCCCAGTCGGCATCGACATGAACGTCGAGATCCAGGATGTTGTTGGTGTTTGCTCTGAGTGTTGTTGTTGGTTCTATGGTGAATTTGTAGTGCTTGGTGCCGTGCAAGTAGCGTAGTAGATGTTTGACTCTCTTTTGTGAAAGTTCTGTAGGTGCTGTGAGGTCTCGTGCTAGTTCTTTTGTGGAGTATGCAATGTCTGGTCGTGTGTATGCTAACCATTGAAGTTTGCCAACAATTCTTCTGTACCTTTTGTGTTGTTCGTGGTCAAGTAGTGCTTCATCTTCTATTGTTGGTTTGTAGTGTGCAATTCCTGGAGTGTTTACTGAGTTGCAGTTGTTCATTCCAGACTCCTCGATCATGTTGTCGATGTAGGAGTCCTTTAGTCCAAGATTGCAGTAGTTGCCGAAGTGGTCGATGTTTCTTCCAAGAAATTGTTGTGGTTTGCCAGGTTCGAGGTAGCCGATGTGCTTGAGTAGTACCTGCTTCTGGACGGCCTCGAAAGTGGAGTCGACTGCGGTCTTGTCTCCAAGTACTAGTAGATCGTCCACGTAGACCATGATGTAGCAGTCGCGAGTCGCATTGGTGTAGACGTTGGGTTCTGACTTTAGTCTTACAAAGCTGAGCTTTTGTAGAACTTCAGCCAGGTAGTCCTGCCATGCTTTCGGTGAACTGCGTAGTCCATACATGGCTTTCTTTAGTCGCCAGATTTTGTCCTGTTGTGGACAAAGTTCTTTAGGTGGCCAAAGGTAGACGTCACGTTGTTTACCGTCGTGGTCTTTTGCGATGGGTGCGTGTAGAAATGCTGTAGAGACGTCACCTAGTCGCGCGATCCAGTTTGGTCGTGACATTTGTAGTGCGAGAAGTGTCCGGAGTGTCGTGAACATTGGTGTAGAGGCGTAGACGGAGTCTTCGTCCTCGATCTTCTCGGTGTAGCCTTTTGCGACGATTCGGCTTCGTACTCCTGGTCCTTTCTTTCTGTGTACCCATCTTGTAGGTATCGCTTCTCTGATGACGTTGTCGTTGACGGTAGACGCATCTACTTCGTCGTAGACGTCGTGTAGTTTCATTTGGTTTGACTCGTGTTTCATTCCTTCCAGTAGTTGTGTTTCGTCGTAACCTTCGTTGTCGAAGATTATGGGTTGGTCTTCTGAGGTGTCGTCGTTTGTGTAGGGAGTGATGGATTTTCCGTTGGGAAGTGTCACTGCGTTGATTTTCTGTCGTAGTGGTGGTGGTTCTTTGGTTGCTTGTTCCGTTGATCTGATTGTAGTGTCCTTTGAGGTCTTCTGTGCTTTAGTTGGTTGCAGTACTTCTTCCGGAGTTAAACGTCGTAGTGTTTGTCGAGGTGGTGCTGGTAGTGGTGGATGTTGTCGTCCAGTTGGTGAGGTAGCCATAGGACTATCCAGTAGTGGTCGTGAACTTGACGTCGATGTGGACGGAGGTCGTGGAGGTGGTGTAGTGCGTTGTTGTTTTGTTGCGGGTTCTGCAACGATGTCGTCCGTCGCATTTGTTTGTTGTCCGAAGTCTTGCGTGGACCTTCTTTTCTCTGACGGTTGTAGTTGCGTATCCAACAGTGTTGCGAACGATGGGTTGTAGGTGTTCCGTCGTGGTGCCCATGGTGCCCATGGTGTGCCGGAGACTTTGTTCAACAGTGCGAGGTCGTATTTGAAGTCCGGTTGTAGTCTCCGTACTGTTCGTACCTTTTGTACGCCTGATTCCGTTGCGACGTAGTTTTCTCCGGTTTCGGAAACTTTTCCGAGCCAGATGCATTTCTGCATCCGTAGGTCTGCTTTCGGAAGTTTCTTGTGTTGTGGTGGAAGGTAGAGTAGTGTCTCGCCAAATTCGAAGATTGCTCGCTCGTAGTTTCTTCCCCAGCGGCGTTCAAAGCTTGTGTAGCCGTCTGGGTGGATGACGTAGCGATTTACCGTCCATGCTGCATGTCGTACTATCCAAGGTAGTAGACAGTGCTTTGTGGACATCGTCATGCTGTAGTTGCTTTCAACTTGAGCTTTGACGACGCGGATTTGTCCGAGAAGTGTTCTATGTAGTCGCTCAACGCTTCCTTGACTGTTGCTGCTGTAGGAAGGTGAATGTCGTACACTCATTGTGCCGACTTTTGCCGCTGTAGCTTTTAGAAGTGCGTTGAGTGTGTCTTCGTTGTCGATTTGTAGTATGCCTTGTGTTCTTCCGCACTCAAAGATGAATGCTTGTAGGTTGTTGACCATGTAGTCCATCATTGATGCTTTGTCTGGAACCAATACTGCCATACACAGTTGTGTAGTAACATCAACTGCTGTCAGTACCGGTGTGGTCTTTGGGTCTTGTTGTGACTTGATGTAGGCAAAGTCTACTTGAATGACAGGTTGTCGTGATTGTTGTTTCTTCTAGTTGTCTTGGCGTCCTTTGCCTTGAACGCAAATTGGACACCAGTTTCTGTATGGTAGATGTGTAAGGTTGTGTTCTGCTATTTGTTGTGGAGTGGGCTGCTGTGGTTGTCGTAGTCCTCTTGCTCTGTGTGCTTCATGATGCTCGTGTTGTTGTTCTTCATCGTGGTTCTCCTGGATGTACTCGTAGTCTTTCTTCACGGTAAACCTTGTTGTTCCTTTCCATTGAAATGGTAGTGCTGCGTTGCCCATGACTGTCCAGTCATCTTTGCGTTGTGAAACTTCTCCAAAGTTGTTGTGAGTGATTGTAGTTCTGTAAGGCTCAAGTGTGTTGATTGGTGGATGTCCTGGTCCATCTGTTGGAGTGAAGAGAGTTGTTCTAAGCGTTGTGTGGTGTCGTATCCAATGTTCACCTTGTCTTTCCCAGTAGTCTTGGTTGTCCTCCTGTGCTGTGAGTGGTCTGTGTAGTGTCTCCTTTGGTTGTGTGGTGTCAAGATTTGTAGAAGGTGCTGCTTTAGGTCTCCATATCTTTTGTGGTGCTCGTAATTGGATCTTTGATCTGGTTGGTGGTGTGTCCATTAGCCGTTGTGGTTGTGAGCTCTGCCTTGTTGGTGTGGTCTTTGATGTTGCTCTGCGTGTAGGTGTTATCTTTCTTCTGAATCTGGTTTCTCCAGTCCAGTTGTCACCTTCTAGTCTTCGTTGTAGTTCTTGCTTGGAAAGTTGTGTTGGGTTCTCTTGTAGTTGTTCTTGCTCTTGCCCTTGTCTGTTGATGATGGTTAGTCTCCAATCATCTAGTTCTCCTTCTGGTATTGGGCAGCCACTGTTGTGTGGTGTGAACAGTGCTTTGCGTGGTCGTTTGTGTACTCTGATGGCGTAGTCACCATCAAGTTTCCAGTAGTCAGTGTTTCCACCAAGGATCTGTCGTAGTCCTTGGTCTGTGTGTGTGAGTGGTGCGATTTGTTCTTGTTGTTGTGCTGCTCTCTCTGTAGGTTGAATCACAGCAATGGATTTTCCATTGTCTGTAGTCATTGGGTAGATGTCGAATCCTGTAGGAATGTCGATCTTCTCTGCTCGTAGGTAGAAAAGTCCTGAGTGTCTTATGAGGTGTGCTTGTTGTTGTCCATGTGTGATGGTGCAGTGTCGTGGAGTGAAGTCAAGTCCATATCCTCTATCAAGTAGTCTTGATGCGCTGAGGATTGGATACTTCACATCACAAACGTAGTAGGGCATCATGATCCTGAATTTGTCCTGCTTGTAGGGAACGTACTTGATGCCGTAGACAGGAGTCTTCTTGTTGGTAACCGTGTAGAGTTGTGGAACCGATTCTCCACAAGGTCGTAGCGGTAGGTCTGGTGCGTAGTCCTTCGGGCAAACGTGTGTGGACGTTCCTGAGTCGATCAGCAGGTGGTGGTACGACTTGAAGTTGGAGTACATGATGTAGTGTGTGATAGTGTTCTCAATCTTCTTGTTCCTTTGTTGTTGTCTGGCTGCTGCTATGTCGAAGTGTAGCTTTGTGGTGTCTTCTTGTAGGAATTGTTGAAAGCTCTTGCTGTGGTCGTTCCATGATGTTATGTGTGTTGTTCTCTTGCCAAGTAGTGATTTGAATTTGTACTTGTGTAGTCGTGATTTTGCTTGTCTGATGTATCCAATGGTGAGGTGTGACTCGTTGATGCCTCCAATGTAGTTCGCTGTGTCCTCATAGCTGTTGTCATTCCAATCCCAGCTGTTGTCATAGTCGTAGTCGTTCCAGTTCTCCTCCATGTAGTTCACCTCATGTTGTCCTTCTTCTCCTTCGTAGTACCAGTCCCAAGTGTCGTTCACATCCTGAGGTAGTTCATCATTGTTGTCGTGATCTGCTTGTTCTGGCTCTAGTGGATGTAGTTCTTCTCCTTCTCCTATGTGCCATACCGGCACTCTGCAGTCTTGTGCCCAGTGGCCGGGCTTGCCACATCGATGGCATGTTGTGTAGTTGTTGCTTCCTTTTCCTTTTGATTTGCTGTAGTTTCCTTGGCCTTTGTAGCCTTTGCTTGATCCATATCCTTTGGATCCTGAGTAGCCTTTTCCTTTGCTCTTGTTGTATCCTCCTTTGTTGTAGTTTCCTTTGCTGCCTTTGTCGAATCCTTTGTAGTGTCCTTTACTCCTGTACTTGCCTTTGCTCTTGCTTCCTTTGTAGCCGCCTTTTCCTTTTCCTTTGCCTTTGCAGCTTCTTCCTTTCCTCCATATGTTGTCAACATCCATTGGTGCAGTTCCTCCATTGTAGTTTGTTCCTACTGCTGAAGTAGATCTAGTGAAGGCTGAAATCGTTTTGTAGTAGTCCAGGATGAGTGCTCTGATCTCGATGTAGTTCGTGATCTGTCCAGCTCGCAGTTGGAGGTGTTGCTGCAGTGCTCCTTTGGTTTTGTTGAGTAGTATTGCTATTTTGATTCCATCTGGTAGTGCTGTTCCATTGTCTTTCTCGTAGCGGTTGATGTCGTATTCCCATTGTAGAAATTGTTCTTCAAACTGCGCTTCGTTGAATGTGGGTTCCAGTAGTTTGGTAAGGTAACCAACGCTCCTTGTTCCTACTGGTAGGCTGAACCTGTTGTGCAGTAGTCGTAGTGTTTCACATCCGTTTGCGTTGTAGCGGTTTTGCCTTACTACTGTAGCTGCTGCTCCCTGACAGATGTTGATGAGGATGTAGTGTAGATCTCTGGAGAGGTCTACTGCTTTGCTTGCTTGTGTAGGGTCGAGTATGTGTGTTCTGATGTCTGTGTCCTCAATCTGTCGTGTAGCCACTTGTGCTAGTTGTAGCACCAGGTCGAAGTCTCGGTCTATGAGGCCGAGGTATGCTTGTAGCTTGAACAGCCATTCTTCATACTGGGAGTAGTCACCAGTGAAGAAGGGTGGTGGCAGTTTGTATCTATGTAGTCTCTGAACGTCGTTGTCTTGTTCTGTTCCTGCTCCCGTAGTCGTGGCTCCTACTGTGTCTGCTGTTGGCCCGTTCTCTGCTCCTGTAGTTTGTTGTGCTGAGGCTGATGCCGCTTCTCCTGACATGTCGTAGTAGTTTGGCATGTAGCTGCTGTTGCTCTGTTGTCGTAGTACTTACTACTTACTGGAGCTCCCCTATGTTTAGGATCTCAGCTCCGCTACCACGTTAAAATCGGTGGTTACTTTGCTTACAAGTGCAAGTGCTGTAGTGTTCAAACAAACAGTCAACCAATGTAGTCTGCAGCTGCCAACCTTTTGACTCATGCGGAGTAGTAAGCTCAAGGCCTGCGGTAGTGAACATACATGCAACAAGAGTGCAAAGTGAAGCATGTAGTTTGACAGCTCTCTCTCTCTCTCTCTCTCTCTCTTCCCCCATTCTCTCATTTCCTTGACGCAGAAAAGCAGGCGCCTGTGAGAAGCCACAAGCTTGTGATGCGCAGCGATCTGCCGCACCAAGCTGTCCTTCTCCTGGAATTCCTTGAGCTCTGCGGAGTAAGCCTCGGATCTCTTGGTTCGAACGATTTTCGAGCCCTGCGCAACCCCAAACTATGGGCCTGTCTGCTAGTGCCACAAGGGACTTCTAGCTGGTCTCGGCCAGCATCGGCCTCCGCTTGTGCTGCTTCAAGGAATGTGTGCAGCTCCTCGGAATGGCGTTTGTGCTCCTCCTTCTCGTCCAGAAGGTCCGACAACTTGCATCCAAAGGCATAATTCTCATCTTTGAGCTCAAGGTGAGCGCTTTCTCTGAGACTCTGTTCCGCAAGCTGCGACTTCAGCTCATCCGCGTGAGACCGCAAGCGCAGAAGCTCCAGGCTGATGCTAGCGTGCTCACTTTTCATGCCGGTCTGCTCGGCTGCAGCCGTGTGCCTAGGACGAAAGGGCACTGGGGATGGGGAAAGCTTTGGGAGATCGAGTTGGCAGAGTTGGACTGTCGGACTGGACTGGGGTCCGGGCAGCTGGGTTTGGAGCTGCTGGTGCTCCAGCTCCAAGGCCTTGAAGCGGCGCTGGGCGCCGTCCTTCGCGGCGTTGGCCACGGCGTACTGCCGCTCCAGGCGCCGGTGCTGCGCCGCGAGCTCCGCGAGCTCCGCGCCGCAGCGCTCGAGCCGCCGCGCCGAGCTCGCCGAGCTCGCCGAGCTCGCCTCGCCCCGGGCCAAACGCTCGTCCTCCACCTGCGCGCGCAGCTGCCCGTGCCTCGAATCGTTGCAGCAGCCTATGTTTGCTTCATTTACTTCATTTACTTCCTTTACGTTCTCGTAATTGGAAAAAGTCAACATGCTCCCTTAAATTACTTAAACACCTTCGCGGGAGATGCGCAGACTAAATCAGAGAATAATTGATCAATGCAACGACAAGCCCAAACAAGGGAATTTATCAGTTTGGTAAGACGATGAGCCACCGTTGCAAGCTGAGGCGCTGAGAAGCATGGTGGTTGCTGTTCAACATGGACTCCGCTATTTGCACTTCCAAATCGGTGACGGTTGACTGCAGCCTCCTTGCAAGGGCGAGCAGCGCTAGCACTGCTTGGGCCAAGCAAGACCCTGTGCTGCGGAAGGCTCCACGTTTACCCCTGTGGGTGCCATGGAGAATGGAAACCCCAGACAAATAAACCCGGGGATGTCCCTTGGTTTGGCAGGGGATTCATCACTGTTGGAGGGACGGGTTGCTTCATCCGACCCGGGTCAACATTACAAAGCCGAGCTGTCCCAGCTGTCCTCTTATCCTCTTGGCATCGGTCCCTGTCTGAAGTGGCCTGGAGCAGCTTCTGCTGCTGCTCCTCATGCTGGATTTGCAGAACCTCCAGCTCGCGGCCCCGGTCATAGTGGGCCACGCGGCTCTTGTCCAACTTGGCTTGGAGCTCCACGCACCGTTCCTGGAAGATCTCCCCGTGCAGGGCTTGCCTTGCCTCCGCCTGTGCCAGCCTCTCTTGCCTCTCGCTTTGTCTTGCTTGAAATTCCGTCTTGCTCTCTCTTTTGTCTCTTTTGTCTCCGCTTCCCCTTTTTGTTCACTGGTCCCTTGCCCGCGGGGAAGGGACGAACCGCTGAAAGCGCAGTGCAAAACGAGGCCTGCTCCGCCTCATGGGTCCATGACTCCAACTCCAGGCACAGTCCTAGGCATTCCAAGCGTGGAGCATTGAAAGTGTCCACTCAAACAGGAAAAGAGGAGTTGGTGGACATGCAAGTACATGTGCATTTATACATCAAACGTTTAAACATATAAGTGTGCGTGTCTGTTGTGGACCGTCTTCCCAGAATCCCGCATAGTGCGAACACCTTAGTCGTTTCCTGCCTCAAGCTCCTCCATTCAACTACTCAGCAGGAACAATCACGCCGCATGCCCAGCAAATAAACAAAGTGATTCCTGTGCTCCCAGCAGCTCTCTTCCATAGGAAAGCCTTCAACGACTCCGACATGGAGAAACACACCCTGCCACGCAGGCCTATCACGCGTCTGCGTTTATGCATAAAATAAGCACGTCCCTTGACAACGTGTACCGAAGGCAGATAGCGACATGCCGCACAGATTTGTGGAAGCTTCGTGCGGGACGCGGAGGTGGCGACCAGAAGCATCTTACCCCGACCGAATCTCGAAAACAAGTCCACCGGCTGGAACCTAGCCACAGCAACTCATATCTTTCTATGGAGCAGGGGACTTTTTGCACAAAAACACGGCAGCTTTGTATAGCAGGCCCAACCCACATCTGCATTTATTCTTCATGTTTCCTGTGATCCCCTATTCAATCTCCAAGTTGGTGTTGATAAGGCGCCGTGGCAAAGGTTCCATGCAAACTACTCCTGTTCTGTGTGGCGCGAGCCGCCGAGCTTGCAAAGGCAGCCAACACTGAACAAACGGGTACACGCAAGGCTTGGGCACTGGGCGGGCTAGGCCCAATTGATGCGCAACCAGCAACACATGGAAAAGCTTCATTGGGCGAGAACAGGACTCCAAGGCCCACACGTGCCGCAGCACTGTGCTCAGAGTCCAGCTCTGTGCACCTGTCAAGCCAATTGCAAGAGCGGCAAACAATGCAAAAACTGATTCGCAAAACCTTGAGAAATCTGCACAAGATTGCTTCACGTGAAGCTGCGCCTCGTTTGGAGCATCTGTAGGTCTTTGGCCTGATCGTGAAAGGCAGTGGTTAAGCACTACACCAGGTGCCAAACCTGGGCTGCGATCCGTGACTGCCATACCTCAGCACGTTGCAGGATCACGAGTCCCAAAGCGCTTTGACAAAGTGGCTGGCATTGGTGAGGACACCTGTCACAGCAGGCGCGCTGCCTGCTCGGCTGCGACAGCGCATGTGAGAAGATCCCATTCAAAAGCATTCAGGAATCCGAGGCCATGTTCAACTGAGGCCCCTCAAGGCCATGACGTTTTTCGGAAATCTGCGCTTCCAGTTTGGAGACCTGAGATTTGAAAAGGGCCACGTTCTGCCGTTCTGCCGTTCTGCCATGTCACCATATTGAGCTCGTGGCGGTGTCGAGGGCCTGCCGCAGATCGGTTTGGCACTGCTGCAGCTGGGTATGCTCCTTCAGCCACAAGGCCTGCGCGGGCATTTTGCTGCCGTCTGTTTGCATGCGTTTGGATGCGTGGCAGAAAGCAGAGAAAGTAACAGCAGGGGGGCACAGTGCAGTGGACCCAGCCAGTTGGCAGAATTCTGGAAATCCAAGAGGCAGGCAGCAGCAAATATAGTCTCTTACGAGGGCATTGGTCAAGTGCAATTTCAACCCTGTGGGTTTCAAAGTCGCCCCAAACTCGCAAGATTCAAAAAGAAAGAAGACGACTTTTGTTATCCCTCAACTTCAGCCAGCCTTGAGCTCCGAGGACTGGCTCTCCGCGGCTTGCTTGGCACTCGCCGAGGCATCTCTTGCGGCGACAGCCTAAGCTGCAAACGTGGACGGGCGAAGACCAACAAGCCCTGCCTCCTTCAAACGAGACTCTTGCACCTCCTGTTCATGCCTCAGCCCTTAGGCATGGCGCGATGCACACGTGATGCAAAGCGAGGCTGTGAAGGTTAAGCTCAGCACGAAAAGCTGACGACTCAGCTGCAGCGAGGACGCTGCTTTGGTCCTGGAAGTGTCGCGCAGGCAGGCCGCGCTCTTGCGATGCCAATGTCCTCGCAGTAAGCCTCCAGCACAGCCTCGCGACGTGCCTTAGGCGATTCCAAGGTGTCTCTAAGACCTGACTCACCTGACTCACCTGACTCGCCTGGCCCCAACCGTGACTTGCACAACCTCAGGTCTTGGCAAGGCGGACATTTCTGTTTGCCGCTTCATGCAGCTCCTTGGCAAGTGCTCACTGCGACATTGCTGCCATTGTGTGGCTGGCGCCCCGTCCTGCAGGATGCTCTCTCTGCCGCTATGGGCCCGGGCGCCGGCCGTGCCGGCCGTGCCGGCCATGCCGGCCATGCCGGCCACGGCCATGTCGGCGTGTGCCAAGACTTTGCGGAGCTCCTCGGGGCTGGTCTCCCGAACCTGGGCCCACGAACAAGCCGCGCTCTTTGAGCTGGGGCTGCCCACGTCGTCCAGCAGCTTCCGGAGCTCCAGCAGCTGGGCCTCGGAGACGGTGCGCGCCGCACTGCGCACCGCACTGCGCACCGCACTGCGCGCTCCGCATTGCACCGCATCGCACACGCCTGCCGGAACTCCAGCACCTCACCACAGTGGCCCTCGGAGCCTCGGCAAGATTGCAGGGATGGTGTCGCGAGGGATCCGAAGCCTGCATCCAAGTCCCGGGACCTGAGTCCGCTCATTCGGCAAGACAAGGAGCACGCGCCCAACTTGGAAGCTGGCACCTCCTGGCTGACTCTTGACCTCTGTGTCACAAACCCGCTCTCTCTTGCCGGCCCTAGTTGGCCAAACACGCTTCAACAACAGCTCAGAAACACCGATCCCAACATCAGCCCTGAGATGTGCAAGAACTGACATCCTGAGGCCTTCGCACAATGCCACTCAATCGCGCAAGTGCATCTGCTCGCAAGGCTTCGCCTGCAACAATCATTCAAATCCCTGCTTTAAATGACCATTCTTCAAACTCGCAGTGGCTCATGCATGGTGCATGGGTGTCCTTCCATTCTGATACTGCCATGCCTGGGCTTGCCGGACGGCAAGTGTCTGGCATTGGCCATGGGGGAGATGCATTCTGAGACTCGGACAGTGTCGGAGCTTTGATGTGGACATGGCGGTGGCAAGTGCGGCTGATTGATTCTAATAACTTGGGGCCAAGCTCACTCACCATCTTCACAAATGCTGTGCGTGGGCTGTTGGATTGCTCGGCGAGCCTTGCACAAAAACAGGTGAGGATATTACGTGTCAATGAATGCAGAGTGGGGGCTTGGGTGTGCCAATGCTACACTGCCGTGGCTGGCGGCCTTATTCAAGATGGCGCCGGGTTCTGTTCTCATCTCAAACTTGCAGTCGAGTCAAATAGCAATCGGTCTTTGGTCCTGAAACGCACGTCTGTTGGCAACTGCACAGCCTTCGCGTGGTGAAAAGGACGTCATACAGCAATGCCGCACTGTCCCAGGCATTCCTTAAAGACTCCGAATTGCACAGGATTTTCTCGCTGGACGGCCATTTCGGCAACCAGCAGGAGCGTTTTGATTCCAATGCTCTGCCCAGCAAGACCTCCGCAAATCTCCTGGACGGCAGGAGGTGTGAAGCCGGGAAGCGACTCCAACACCACTTTGTAGTGTGCCGGCTGCGACAGGACTGGAATTGCCATGGATACGTTGAAGGAATGCAGAAGTTCCACCTCCTCAAGAAACTGGGCGTCTGTGGATGTTCCAATCACGAGCAGCCGACTGTTCTCCTTGGGAGGTGGCTTCTTCAAAAGAGCCATGAGTGCTTGCAGTACTGGCGTGGAGAACCGAGGGCCGACTCGAACGAAATCAACCAAACGCTCAATGTCATCCAAGACGATGCAGGACAGGTCACTTTTGTAGGCATCTTCGAAGATTTTTGCAATCGCAGAAATCTTTGCCTGCTCTGAGAATCCAACAAAGCGGTCACTAGCAATTCGCCGGACATAGGGATAGTCGGAGCCCTGTGCTAAGTGTGCTGACAGGGCAGTCTTGCCACTACCCTTGTCCCCATGCAGCAGCATGCTCATCAAAGGGGTGTGAGTGGAACCACGAAGCTGGTCTAAAATGCTCATGCAGGATCCCATGGTATGGTTGAACTCGTCTGAGAAGAGCTGGATGCCATTGGGGATGCATTTCTCAAAATCGTCGGTGTGCTGGCCAAAGGCTGGCTTGACTTCGTCAAGCGCCAGGTCAAAATCCTCCCTGCAGACCTGAAAGTCACCCTCCTTGATGCTGAGATCAGTGAAGCTCACCTTCCTGTTCATGGCCTTGTGCGACAAAGGAACGACAAAGGACAAACTAAAAAAAGGAAGAGAACAAGAACAGCAAAGCAAAATGCAAACGGACTGCTGACAGCAAGGAAAGGCTACCAGCCAAAATGGAGGCAAGATGCATAAGATGTCGCAGAGCGAATCAGCCCCTCGAGCTCTGCGCCGGAGAAGTTCTTCGTTCTTGAAGCGATATCTGCTATGGACACTTCCTTGGCTGCGGACACTGGAAACTCTTGGAAACTCTGAAAGGCCTTCACTGAAATTTCTTGGCCCTTTTCCCTGGATCCTGGATGCAAGCGAGTGGCCTTCTCAAGGTAGCCCTTGTCCCTCATGCTCTTGGTGTGGATGTTCAAGATCTCTACTCTCCCATGCTCATCCGGAAGGCTGATCTCCACATGGATCTCCAGGCGCCCGGGTCGCAGGAGAGCCTCATCAATCAAGTCCTTGCGGTTTGTCATGCCGATGAGCAAAATGTTGTTCAAGGAGTCTACGCCGTCAATCTTCGACAGCAGCTGGTTCACGATGCTGTCATGGACCCCTGTCCCGTCACGTGTGGACCCTCGAGACTTGCAGATCGAATCAATCTCATCGAAAATCACCACGTGCAAAGGGGAATTCTCCCCCAGTGTCTTTTCATCCTTCTCAGCATCTGCGAACAAGTTTCTAATGTTCTCCTCTGCCTGGCCCACGTACTTGTTGAGGATCTCTGGGCCATTTACAACTTTTGGCTCGGCAGCCTTCAGGAATTTCGCCAGCTTCCTGGCGATCAGCGTCTTCCCCGTGCCGGGGGGGCCGTGCAGCAGCATGCCTCTGACATGGCTGACCCCCAGGTCCCGGATCATGTGCGGAGGGAAGACGCGGGCGGCAAAAGCCCGGCGGAAGATGTCGCCGAACTGCTTGCTGAGGCCACCGATGCCGAGGTCCTCGAAGTTGAAATCCGGCCGAAAAATGTTCCTTTGCTGCAGCTTGTTGCTCAGCACATGGAGCTTCCCGGAGGGCCCCTGCTGAAAGTCCAGCTCTGTGAGGGAGGCCAGGAGCCCCGCGTTCACCTTCTTAACGGCTGCTCCGTCCCCGAGGTCCGGGGGCATGAGGCCACGGACTTCGAACTTCAGTAGTGTGCCGTTGTAGTCCACCGCGATGGCCTGACCCACCGACAAGATTTGCTGCTCGAAGTTCTTGCGCATGATGCTGTCCAGGTCCTCATCGCGCACCTCCAGGCGGGCCGCATCCGGGGCGGGTTTCAGGAAGAAGTCTACCTCCAGCTTGCAGGTGCCCAGGTCGAAGCTCTTAGGCACCGGAAACTGCTTCACGAAGACCTCCTGGTTCAGGCCGATCCGCGCGAACTCTCGTTGCACCTGCAAGTTTTGAAAGGCTTGCTGACAAATAAGGCTTTCATTTGAAATATAGCTTTGCAAATTTGTTTGCGGCAGATTGCCCAGGCCGAGGCCGAGGCCTTGTTGAAGGCGATGGTGCCGGGCTCCATTGCCTTGTGCGCCTCCACTGTGAACACGCAGCTCTTGACCTCGATGTAGATGTGGGCACCCCCGCTAGGACAAAGCTGCTGCAAGTCGCTCTGGGACACATAGCACTTGTTGGTGAAGGCCAGTGTCTGCAGGGGCCGGGCTGTAGCAAGAATGCAAAAAGAAGGAGTTGCAAACGCATGGCAACCCACATTTTTAAGTCAAGTGCTTCAACGTTTGAACGAGGTTTGAATGGATTGCTGGCTGAATGCTACGCGCTCCGTCCTTTTCCGGCAGGTTGGACGGCTTGAGGCTGAGGCCAACTGACACCATGGCGCTGCAAAAAAAAGCCTGGAAGCTGGGCACGAGTGCTTAGCTGGAAACATGGTGTGACACGGTGTGAAGATGAATTTGGTGCTTGCCCGCAACACGCTGAGATACGCTGAGCACTGAATAGCAATGCAAATTCTGCTTCGTTCATATCCATGCCAGGGATCTGCAAAACTCAAGTGCCGCGTACCGCAGGCCGGCATGTCCAACGGCCTTTTTTAGTCTTCCTTCCAATTATGCGCACATTGGGTGCACCTGCCACGACCATGCGTAGGGCAAGCAAGCTGACGGCGGTGGCCTGTAGAAGGTCGTCATGGGTTCATCAGCAGAGCGCGTCTGCATCTGCTTGAAATACGCCCTGGAGTGGGTGCATTTTGGACCTGGGACGTTGAATGGCATGCAAAGGCTCCCGACACCCGTCATAGGCTGCCCGCAGTGGGCGTCACATTGCTCGACATCTTTCCATGCCTGAGCACTGGCACGTGATAAGCCCGGAAGGGCACATGGATTATGGATGGCACAGTGCGCCTCACTGCCGCCCAAGACATCATCTACTTCCTTCCGCGCGATCATCTGCTTCGAGGTCAGCTTCTCCTGTCAGAGCAAGCCAACGCCCTGCACAACAGCACCTGTTCAGCGGTCCCGGATCTGGTAAATGTAGGGGCACGTCCTGCCACACAACGCATGCCAATAGCCTCCATCTGACTATCTGGGGACTTAAGCTCAGTCCGGCATCGGAAGGCAGAGTTTGAGCTGCGGCCAATTTCCACCATCAGCAGGTTTGCACCTGACATGCGCTCTCAAATGCCCCAGAAATCGAGGAAAAACTACCAAGCCAGGTTTGCATGTTGGGCAGAACTGTGCCGCCATGAGGGTGCTCAGAAGAGAGACGCGCAAAGCTCAAGAAGCAGCTGCAAGACTTGATGAGCCACATCTAAGCTGAATCCTAAGTTCGCGCTGACGACAGCTTGAAGGTGAGGGCTCATGGCCAAGGCTAGTGGTGAGACGCTGGACACACAGCCAACGGGGGCACTGAAGAGAATCAAGCAATGCCAAGCATCAAGCTACCATCCATTACCATCTCTGATGCTACATGTGAAAAGCGGGCAGTGCATGGAGGGTTTTCTTCTATCAGTGGCTTAGCGTACCCTCCAATCTAACATGCCCAACCATTGATCAACTAAGACTAAGAGTGAGACAATTATGTATAAGAGTGAGCCGTGGTCGAATTCAACATGGTGAAAGCTGCCCGTTGAGCCGCGAATTGTGAGGCACTCCTGTCTCACCCCGCCAATCAGGAGCTATGGCGAGCTGTCGGCTCAGCCTGCTCAAACGTGTGAAACCCTGCCGTTGAGAGCTGGCGCATGATTTAGGCGATTTAGGAAGCCCATGGAAGCCCTCAATCCTCGTCGGGTTCTTCGAAGTCCTCGTCCGAGTAGTGAGAGGACGCCGCATCCGGTGGATCATCCGGAGGCTTGGGCGGCGGTGCCGGTGCTGCGAGTTGGTCGCGCCCAGCTTTCGCCTGGAGCATTTCCAGCAAATTGTCGCATTGCTGCAGCTGCTCCTGCAATTCCTGGCCCTCTTCCTCCTTCTCATTCAGCCTCTCTGACAAATGGACGTAGCCCTCAGAGACGTTCTCCAGCTCCTCCTCCAGCCGGGTCTTCTCTTGCCAGTCCAAGTCCATTCCTTCGCGGAGGCCATCCCGCTCCTCGATGATCACCTGCAGCTGCATTTGCAAATCTTCGCTTTTTGCGAGCATCTGCTTCTTGTCCTCCAGCAGCTGAGCTTCTTGCTCCCGCTCGGCATCCTCCTCCTCGGAGATCTGCCGCATCTTCTCCTGCAAAGACGCTATCTTCATGCTCAGCTTCTGGTGCTCCGTTTGCACCCCTAGCAGCTCTTCGCTGGAAGCCACGGTCACTTGCATTCGCTGCACCTCCATCTCCAGCGTCTCTCTCTGAGTGTCCGCTTCGATCTGCTCCTGAACCATTTCCTGCAGGTTCTTCTGCAAGGATGCTTTCTCTTCTTGGTGAGAGTCGGCAAGCCTGCTGTGGTTCTCGATCTCTGTCTTGAGGCTCTCCACTTTGGGATTGCCCATGCTCAGCGCCTTTGCCAAAAGGTTCTGGCGGAAGGTGGTCACGTCCTTCTGCAGGCGGGCCTTCTTCTGCGATGTGGCCACAGCAGCCTGGGTGGCTTGGTCCAGCTGCTGGTTCCTTTCCGCCAGAGCCTGGCGGAAGCTCTCGGACTCTTTGTGCACCTCCAGCAGCCGCTCTTCGTTCTTCTTCCTCAGCTGCTGCTCCGCCTCCAGTCGGTCCTGCAGCGCGCGGAAGGACGCATCGCCGTCCTCCTTGGGCGACGCTCCGTTCTCCCGGGCGCTGTCCATGACCGCCCGCAGGCACCGCGACACGGCGTCCAGGAAGGGCGTCATCGCACTGAGCCGAGTCTTGCTGGGCTTGCGCTGCAGCCGGCCCCGATTCAGGAACTTGGCCGCCGCCACGGCCAACAGCTGCAGCAGCCGCAGGGTCTTGGGCACCTCCTTGCCTTTCAAGACGTCGGCTGGGTCAAAATCAATGCGCTTCACTCCGACCGCCGCAGATGCAGAATCCGCAATGTATTGCAAGAGCTCGATGCGGGCGTCTCTGGACTGCTCAGGCCATTCTTGGGACATTGCCTGCAAGAAGCCCGTCTGCTGCTGAATCAACAGCGCAACGTCGTGCACAAATTTGGGCGGCGGCCGCGACAGCAGCTCCAAAGCCGTCCGCTTCTTGTTCAACGACTCCAGAGACACCACCTGGGCGAGCACAAACTCTGTGCCCTCCGGAGTGTCATCCACATCGTCGGGCCCCCACTCGTGCATCGGCCGGCTGTCCCTCGGCGGCCGCGGCCCGTCGTCAGCTCCTAGGACCGATCTGATGACTTCCTCCTCGGGGAGCTTGTCGCCGCCGACCAGCTCAAGACCCCGCAGGACAAGCTCCGCCAAGGCTGGCGCCTCGCCGCTGAGGTCGTCAAACTCGGCATCCGCCTTGGCCCGCGCCTGGCTCTCGATGAGCTGCAAGATGCGGCCAATGTCCTCGAGCATCTGAGCATGGAGCGGGGAGATGCCACTTTGATCCACGGTGGGGGATGCATCCCCCATCTCCGATTCACCCCTCAGCTCCTCCTTCACAGCCTCAAGACCTTGCAGCCACTCCTCATGGGCCCCGCGCACCGCCTGTGCAAAGTCTTGGGCCTTGGTGCGGCCGGCAACCTCCAGGGACCCCAACTTGGACATCTCCCGCTTCAGCGTCTCCAGCTTGGTGAGGGCTCGCCGTGCCCCGGTGCGCGCCATGGAGTAGTCCGCGGCCTCCTCGCCGTCCACCCACAGCCGCAAGTCCTCCCGGAAAGCGCTTTGGAAGGCCACGGCCATGGTGGAGTCCTTCTTCGCGTCCTCCGCCACCTCCGCGATGTCCGCCACGATCTTCAGCCACTGCCCCGGCATCTCACAGGACCGCAGCTTCTCACACGGCAAAGACCCCCCTGGCAGCGACTGTAGCGTGCCGATCAAGCCCCGAATGGACAGCTCTAAATCGTTCTGGTCTTCCAGAAGCCGCAATCTCTTGCGACACTCCTCCTGCATGGCCCGAGCTTGCTTCTTCTGCTCGTCCAGGGCTTTGTTGATCTGACTCTCATAATCTGCGGAGAGTTTGGCTTTATCCTCCCAGGTGCTACTCACCATCTTCTGCATGTCGGACAGCTGTGCTGAGAACTTCTCCTGCATAGCCCTCTTCTCCTCATCTGACATAGAGCCCATGCCGCCGCCCGCGCCTTGGTCTGCAGCCGCCAGCTTCTTCTTCAGCTCCTCGATTTCAGAGTTGAGCCTTGAGATCTGCGACGCCTCCTCGTTTTTAGTGGCCGACACCTTGATGGCCTTGGCGCGGTTGGCATACCTCAAGGTGGACATGGTCTCCTCATAATTGCAGGCCGCAGGCGACAGCGTCGCCAGCATTGTGCAAAGGGAGTTCCCACCCAGAGATTCTTGCAGCACCCGTGTGAGCTTGGAGTTGCGGAAGGGCACGAACACCTTCTTGCCATTGGCAATCTCCACCAGGGCATTGATGACATTGCCCAAAGCACTCAAGCTCTTGTTGATGTTGGCGCCTTCCTTCAAAGTCTGTCCGCTGGCCCCGGTTCCTTTCTGCCTCTCAGAGCCGGCCAGGTCAACCAGGTTGAGCTTGGCAAAGACGTTCTTGGACTTGTCCTCGTCGTCCTTCTGGTGGACCTTGATGGTGAAAATGGAATGCGACCTGGAGCTCACCGAGTTCATCATAGTGGAGCTCACCGCCCGGTTCTTGGTGCCTGAGTTCATGAGCTGCACCAGCTTGTCGGCATCGCTCACCACGATCTCCTGCAAGTCTTTCACATAAATCCCCAGCACCGGGTGCTCCTTCACCTGAAGCCCGGCGCCAAGCTTCGACCGATCCTGCACAGGGTTCAGCAGGTCAAAAATGATCTCGTTGTAGATCTCGAAGAACGAACCTAGGCTTTGCAAAAGCCAGCAAGCTGGGCACCGCATGCACAGCTAAGCCACAAATCATCACAAATCCAATGCAAGCAAGCAACACATCACAAGAAACTTCCGGGAGCTTACCGCCTGCTGCAACTCGTCGATCCTCACGAAGAGCTGCTCGTTGACTCGGGGAATGATTCCCTTCAAGTCCCCTCCTCCCCCCATCATACACCAGGACTTGCCGCTGCCTGTCTGCCCGTATGCAAAGATCGTGCCATTGTAGCCCGTCAAGGTTGAGTTCACGGCAGCCTGCCCTACCGCCTGAAACACGGTTTCCTGCATGGTGCCGGTGCCAAACACAATGTCGAAAGCAAAAGTGGAGGGTTTTTCCTTGTTGTCAGGGTCATTGATGACAACGCTGCCGGTCGCTGTGCCAGTGCCCGAGGTCTGCTCGGTCAGCTCAATGATGCTCGACTCATTGTTGCCAAGCTCTTTCGAAGACAATGGCCGCAGTCGCACGGCAACTTTTACACAATCGGGCTTCTTCTCCTCCTCATCGCCCATGGCACTTTCACGCCACAAGCTGAGCTTGGGTCGAAACTTTGCAGAAGCAAATGTGGCACAATCTCACACGCCAACAGCCAACAATTGTGACCGGCAAAATCAAGCGCATGAATAAACTGCAAGCCTTGGACTTTGAACAAGCGCATGCAGGTAAACGTTTTTCCTCCAGCGCCCATCCATTGACATTTGCGAACCTACATTGGGGCGCAATCGGAAGCTGGCAGCTTCTCTGTCATGCGGCACAGCCCGAAATCATCATCGTAGGAGCAGCGGGCATAAACTTTTGTGGCTGGGGCATTGCTCACATTCTTCTGGAGAACATCGTAAAACTTTCCGCACTCTTCCTTTGGGTGGTTGTTGCAATGCGAAGGAGACGCTGTAAGGTTGCGGATCACTGGGCACAAATCCGGCTCACAACACTTGGCATCAGTGGTTCCGCTGATGTTGATTGGTGCTGGTCGGAGGGTCGTTCCTTGCGAGCATTCATGAACCGCGCAGGTTTTGTCGCAGCAAGACTCATCGCTGGCACCCACGATGGCGTCATTGGAACGATTGGTCAACCAACCGGCGCTACAAACATGAGCCACACAAGTCTTCGTGCAGCACTCCTCCGCATTTGTGGCAATGAGGTTGCGCTTGCCGTGATCCCGAACCCAACCTTCCGGGCACTCGAAAGCTGAGCACTTCTTTTGGCAGCATCGGTCGTCGCTCGGCATGAAAACCCCGCTTTTCGTGACATCTTTGACATAGCCATCGCCGCATACATGCTGCTGGCAAGTGGGCTGGCAGCAGTCGCTCTCTTTGTAGGCGATGTTCTTCATCTTGTTGTCTGGGATGCTGAAGCCTGGTTTGCAGGTCATGATGGCGCAGGTCTTTGCACAGCACTCTTCACGAGTCACGCCCACATGGTCGACCTTGAGATCATCGACCACCCAGCCCTCACCGCAATTCATGAGGGCACAGCGAGGCTCGCAGCACAGGGCATCGGAGTCGCCCACCCAAAAGGATCGTTCCTCCGATGCCTTCCACAACACTCCGCACTTGTGGGCTGCACAGGTCTGTGCACAGCAAGACTCCTGAGTCAGATTCACACTTTTCACCGTGGAGGTTGTCACGCGGAAGCCTTCCTTGCACTGAAAGCCGTCGCAATTCTTGTCACAGCAAACTTCGGCACTCGCTCCTACATTGTTGGCATAGGCTGGGTTTTTTTCATGGCCTGAGGGGCACTTGAAGGATGCGCACGTTGGCTGGCAGCATTCCTGGTTGCTGGCTCCAAAATGCTCACTCTGTGGCAGCTTCGGCGCCCAGCCAGCTGCAAGCGAGCATTCCCAGTTGCAGCAGGAGTTGGCCCCAGCGGTGTCGCAGTGACTCAAAACCTTCAAGGACAAAGTCCGAGCGCTCAGAGCGCAAATGCTCGCTAGAAAATACTTCATTGGTGAGTCGAAACTCTTGGGCCAAGGGCTGCCGGTCGGGCGAGTGTCCGGGTGAGCAATCGCCACAAGGCACAAGGCAAAGTGGCAACTCGGATCAAGCCAAAGATATGTGAGACCTTCAGAAAGTACAGGGAGGCCTAGAAATTGTGAGGGCAAAGGCAATTGCTTTTCTGCTGCATGCCATTCAAGGCGGAGCCAGCGGATCAGACCTCGGAGTTCAGAAGTTCGGGCGCTTTCAGAAGCTCAGCTCAGCCCAAGACAAATTCAGCTTTCCGCTGCCACCAGGCCCGGACGTTGGCAGGTCATTCAAATAGGTCTGGCATAGCACGGAGCCAAACTGCCAAGCAGCTCAGCAGCCAAGCAGCCAGGCAGCCAGGCACTCAAACTGACTCAAACTGACTCAAACTGACTCAAACTGACTCAAACCTGAAACGCTTACGGATGCGTGCATCCCGCCTGAAACGCCTTCATGGCAGCGGCGTAATCTTTGCTTTTGGCTGCCTTCTCGAAGGCAGCTGCATCCTGCCATCGGCACAGGGAGCCAACCCCAACCGACCCCCGACCCCAACCCTCCTTGAGCAACGTTCGGCTGATCTTATCCGGAGCCACGTCCTGTCTCTGCAAAGCCCCCCATTTCTCCATGGCCTGGCAACATGTCTGCAAATTCTGATAGCAATCCCACCCATGCCGCACCTTGCCCATCTTGGGCAGGGAATTGGAGAGCCAGTCATCATTAATGGCCCCAGCTGTTGTGAGGGACTGGTATCCATCGACAATCTTTGGCGCATAGCCTCAAGGGACGATGTGCAACGGCCCGCTGGCTCCAGGGCTCTGAGACTGCTACGCTTTCGGCCAGCAAACAGATCCCCCACCTCGAAGCCAGCAATCCGTGCAGGTGAATCGGTGAGTCTGCGCTCAGAGTCCCGTTTCGACTCCGGGCTGGGTATCAAGTGAATCGAGTCTCTGGCATCAGGCACTCCATCAAGACTGGCCCAACTTGGGGAGCCCATCAACCTGACAGCGCAAAGTGACACCAAATCTCCCACTACTCGACGCTCGAGCGGGCTGGCATCACAGCGCCAAAGAAGAACCTGCGGGACTCTCTGCCGACCTGCACGGGTGATGTCAGAAATGACGAAATGACTTGAGACCCTTTGAGACTCCGAAGTCTGTGAGACATGTTTTCCGAGCTTCGGACCACAAAGGCTGGGCTCGCCAAAACGGCGAGGGCCAAGCATGGCCCAAACGGCCTACCATGAGGCGATGCAGGCGGAACGCCAGGCAACGCTTCCAGGCCTCGACCGAGCCCGAGCCATTGGCATCACTAAGAGCCAAGGGCAGATGTGCCGAGGGGAACCCGAATGGCAAGACATGGCGAAGCAGAACAAGACATGGCAAGACAGGGAAAGACAGGGAAAGACTTAATTCAGGAGGTGCCAAATCATGAATCCTACGTGGCCCAGACGCACCTAGCAATGCGCTCAGACGCTGGTATTCGAAATCCTCCCAGCCCGCGTCCCCCATGTCCACACGCGGCGTTTTCTGCGCAAGCCACTCAACTCCAAGGGAAATCCCAAATGTTTATACCTTTCTGCAGGAGGAAGGCTCAGCAACATCCAAGCCTCGTGAAACAAGGACGTGTTCTTGAAAGAGTTGAAGGACACAGGAGCTTCTACAATCCATATGTCCTGCCTGGCGCAGGACAAGCACAGATGACCTCGGCCCATCCAAAAATTCCAAGCTTGCTGCTGAGCCGCTTGCCCATCGGGCCGGAAAGGTGGACGATGCGTCGTCAGAGCCTTCAACGGCCGAATACTGAACCATTCCCTGCCGAAGGCATCGGTGGTGACAGCACTGGGCCGAATGCCAACCTGTCGCAGACATGTTGCGAGCATCAAGTCCTCACGATGTCCCGTCGCAAATTGGCACCGCTGGAAATCTGGAAAACCAACGGAGCCAAGGGAGCCCAAGCCTTTCAACAGTTGCCCCAAGTCCAGCAAGGCGCCGCGCGAAAGGCAAACCCCGGGGCCACCGTCGTTGTACGTCAAGCCGAAACGGGGCACTTCGTTGAATTGACGAGTGCCCAAATAATGGGCATCCAACGTGTTCAGCCTCTCAGATACGACGAGCAACCGGAAGTTCTCGGGGATGAAAAAGGTGTCCCGCTCCAAGCGACAGTACCACCACTGACTACCATCATGGATTTGGCTGCTCTCTGCCGCCCACTGCAGCATATGCAAAAGCTTGATGATGGTGTTGAATGAGTCATGTGACGGGCGATCGCCCGTCTCTCGATGAAAGTCATCCTCGTCCACCGGCACAATTGGATAGAATAAGTGCAAATTAACAACATCAATCTTAGAAGCACAAGGCAGCTCATCCATGTCGATGACTGTGTTCACGGGCGATGAAATGAAGAAGCGCAGTTCATCACAATCTGGGCCATAAGTTGCGCAAATGGCTTGTAGAAAAGGCTTCTGGCGCGGCCAAACAAGTGGGATCAAGCAGCTTACCTTTGGAAGCAGGTCTGATGAATGCCAAAATGGCTTGCCAACATTCAGCACTTCATGGCGCCAGGCCCACAACTGCGAACGAGCAAATGAGATTCCAGGGGGCGCCCACGGAATCGGATGTAGGCAGTCCGTGCGGTCCGGACGTCCGGGGCGCGAGGCAGAGAAAGGCAAACCTTCCATGCGAGCAAGGGCGCGATTGAAAGCAGACAGAACAACAGCACCAGTCAAGTTGAACACCTCTGCCATCACTGATGCATCAAAGCAAGAAATCCCACCAGACGCGGCAATGTGCATCAAGGATGCATCAAGAAAAATGAAAGCTGCTCCCAGGTTTTCGTCTTCCACGCGACCGGCACAAGCATAGCTCTCCACAGCAGCGGCTGACGAACATGAAGAAGCAGACAGGTCCAAATGAAAACGCCCCACGGCATCAGTTGCCAGGCTGCACCGTGGATCCAATTCAGTTGCAACGTCCCCACACAATTCACACAGGACACTCCCATGGCCGAATGCGTTAAACAAGTGCACCAACCACACATGTAGCGACGACACATGCCAGCCCGCGATGCAATTGGCACTCATGTGTAACAGCACTACTCACGAGTCCCCTCAAAACAGAGGCTGGCAACTGGGTGCGCCTGCAATCATTGGGTTTTGGTGCCATGGCGGGTGTGAATGTGGAAGGTGCTGAAGTAACTTGGGATGCCACGAAATGTTGCGGGTTGAGCTCTTCCGTCTGTGCGAACGCCGTGAAGTTTGTTCAGCAAGTTCAGCAAGTTCAGGAAAACCGGCGCCTGCAATGATGCAATGATGTGATTCAACCTGGAGCTATCGCAAACGCCTGGCCGAACATACTTGCATGACCAACTCGTTGGCAAGTGAGTGCGGCGAGTGAATGAAGTGAGTGAGGTGGAGCTTGTGAGAAACATCCGCGGAAGGGGGTGGGGGTGAACAGGGAGGGTCGTTCCGGAATTAAATGTTTCAGGTGATTTCCTAGGATGACTTGCTCAATCGACTTAACAGGGCTTACAAAGACAAATTCTAGTAGAAATTCTGCTAAGAATTCGTAGTTCCTGTCACATTCCACTGGTGATGTCCTTTCCTCGAAGGAGTTGTTCATTCTTGCTTCATGAGAACCAAGTAGACATTAACAAGGCACGAAGTCTAGCAGAATGGGTGATCTCTGATAGAGTTGAAATAGAGCCTCTTTTCTAAAACGAATGTCAAATAGTTGATTTAACCCAAAGTGCAAAACTGAATGTGTTTCACGTTTTAAACAAAGTCCTAGCAGAAACTCTAGGTTCGATAACTAGGGTTTGTTGGGCATCAACTTTCAAATTCGAGTTCAACGACATCCTTTCCGATGGTGTTAATCACACTTTACCTAGGAACTAGCCAGCACAGACCCTTAATAAGTCTTAGCGGACTGCGTGCTTTTGCAGCCAGCTCGGTAGTGCAGCTCGCACAGAAGCGCGGTAATGCAGCTCGCACAGAAAAGAAGAATTCGGGCCCAGCGCGCGCTAGCCAAGCAAGGGCCTCAGAAGCCTACGTGCAAACATTCTCATTGGGAGGCTCGGCTTCCTTGCTGCGATGATGTTGGTGTAGTGGCCTGGTCGCAAAACCGATGCCAACTGCAGTATCAAGCACCAGCCGTGCTGATTTGGCGGTGAGGCCGGGTTTTTGGAGCGGCGCCATTCTTGCCCGGCACAAGTTGGCTAGAAGGATGTCCCGGCAAGGGGCGGCATGTACACAAGCCGGCGGGCCCGATCAGAACCACGAGGGGCAGGTTGGGGCCTGACTGCAGTTGCTGGAAGGCCGCGAGTCGCGCTCGACACTCCTGCTTGGGGAGCCGAGCCAGAGCGTGGGCGTCGGAGGTCGCCCGCTTCCAGCACTGCTTGCAGAGCGAGGGAAAGAGCCTGGCGGACTTGGCTTAGCAAACGCAGCGGGGCACTAGCGGAGGAGGGCCTGAACATCGGGCTGGCGAATCCGTGCCATCTCTGACGCCCAAGACCGGGCGAAGCCGGTTGACTTTTTCGGGCGATGAGGACACAGCACGTACTGCTGGGTGAGGATGCGGTCGTCCAGCATGGAGCGGACGGCGTGGAACTTGTCGCTGTCCCGCTCGTGGTGCGTGAGCCGCAGTCTCAGCTCCTCAGGAGGCTCGTAGCCGCAGCGGCCGACGGCGACGTAGCAGGAGGAAGCCACGACGGTTTGGCGCGCGGCCTGCTGCTGCAGGATATGGACTGTCGGGGCGGGCGTCGCTGCAAAAGTCCAGCAGCCAGGGCGTTGCGCCTCGCGTGCGCCGCTGGAGCTCCTTGCTCTCGGCGGCGGCACAGCGCGCCTCTGCCTCCAGTTTGCTGCACTTGCCCTTGCAACCCACCGCTATCCTGGACGGGGCTGCGCCGCTTGCGAGTGATGTGCTTGTGGAGCCCACTCCTCAGTGAGGCATGTGGGCATGTCAGAGCATGTGAGGATGCTGGTCTCCAAAAAAAAAGAGAAGTTGACCGTGTTTTCTCCAAGGACTAGCGGCCAGATTCCCCACACGCACGCTGCCATTCGCAGCCAGCGCCCCTCGGTCCCATCGCTCCTGTAGGTGTCTGTGAGAGGTGCGCAGAGAGAAAGCTTTGGTAAGACAGCAAGAGCCCATCATAGAGCCGGCGCAGTTCCGTGCGATCTTGTTGAGGCGGCTTCGCCTTCCACTGTTTTTGCGCGTGCTCGATGGCTGGTGCGTTGCGAGCGCGAGGGGGTCTTCTTATTGCGCTTGGCTGCGATTTCCCCTTCAGCCGCGCCTGCCTGGAGTTTAGCTACTTCGCGCTCCATGATACGCGCTTGAGTGGCACTGCCACAGATTCGGCAAAACATGAGCTGGCCACGAGCAATACACAACGACAATTCCTTGTTCCTGCTATCTTGCTACCTATCGGACCCCCCCTCACACGAGTTTGCCAAGCACGTCAAAGCTGACACATATACCGCCCTCATGCAAAACAGTGACTACAACGCGAGTGACTCTCGTGATGACTCTGTGCCTCTCATGATGATTCTGTGCAAGTTTGGCCTTAGGCTTTGCCAAGTCCCTCCGTCGCTCGCTGTTTGTGGTGGCCGCTGTCTACATTCTATTTGGGACACATGCCGTTGTCTCAAGAGCATTTGGCAGCATTGAACGCGCCTGGTACGAAAGTAGGGGTTCCAGAAAGAAGCCTGGGGAGCGCTATGAAAAATACAAGGTGGGTACATCGGTTGGTGAGGATACTGATCTCACAGCTGCGTGGCAGGACCTGAGTGGTGATTTTGAATAGGCCTACATGCATCAGAGAAGCGACCAGCGCTTGAAACCACGCCAGATCGCGAGGCGCAAGCACGAGCACGCCGGCTGCCACAATTGCTGCCTTACGGGCGGTCATGCGAGAAGAGATTCCAAATGGCGTTGGTGAGATGGAGAGCGCGTCTGTGCACCAAGATGGACCAATCGCTGGGCCAAATTCGCCAAGAGTTGGCGAACCAAACAAATGCCCGGCATGCGTTGGAGGAGCGAGAGCGTCCGCCAACTCGAGCAACGGCCTGTTTCACCCAAAGCTGACGCAGGTGAAGTGGCAGAGGTGGACAAATCCATTGTGGTGGTGGGAGGCTTTGCTGAGGAACGTGTGGATCGAGCTGAGGCAATCGTGCGGGAGCTGATGCAGCATGTTCAGGGGTTCCGTGATGTCGAAGTGTCAAGTAAAAACGCGGCCATCGCGTAGGCTTCCTTCGACTGTCAGTGGCTAAAAGAAGAACCAAGACATGCAGAATGCTAAGCTTTGGGCATCCGAGAACCGAGCGCTT